AGTTAGATTTGCAGTGAGATCTTGTTTACTGCATTAATAAAGAAGCATATATTATTACGGCACAGATTTTGTCTTTGAGATTTTGATAACTGCATTTCATTATAAATGATTTCCTGCGTATTTTACACAGTTAAATCCTTAAGCTCCCTTACCTGTTTTTCCCTCCTGCCTGAGTGCATTGCCTCTACTTGTCCCCTTGGTCCTGTAGTTCCTACCCACACACCCTGGACCCTCACACTGTGTTCATTTTCTCCACCTTTTTTCTTCATGCTATTCTTTAATACTATATTCTTTCATATTATCTATATAATGAAATACGGGGTTTGGTATATACTTATAGTGTGAAAATTGATAAAAACAGATGAATATAAAATACAAAGGTAATCTTACCTATGGATTTGTGTATGTTTGGAGTTTTTTTTTTTTTTTTTTTTTTTAAACTTTTAGAGAGGGGAAGAGGGGGAGAAAAAGAGGCAGAGAAACATCAGTGTGTGGTTGCCTCTTGGGCACTCCCTACCGGGGATCTGGCCTACAACCCAGGCATGTGCCCTGACTGGGAATCAGACTGGCGACCCTTTGGTTCGCAATTCGGCACTCAGTTCACTGAGCCACACCAGCCAGGTCCATTTGGAGAAATTTTATTTTCAATGTTATTCTAGTCTATGTTACAGCCCCTTTACTTGCCCCTACTTAATTATTGCTTGTGGGTTTTTTTTTTTTTAATTTTACTTTTAATTACAGATTTTAGAGAGGAAGGGGAGGAGAGAGACAGAGAGACATCAGTTTGTTGTTCCACCCATTTATATATTCGTTGGTTGATTCTTGTGTGTGCCCTGATCAGTGATTGAACCCACAACCTTGGGGTATTGGGAGGATGTGCTCAGCAACTGAGCTATCTGGCCAGGACTTGCTTGTCTGTTTGAAGTCCTGATCACTGTTGCTATTAAAGCCATATCCTTTTGTTCCTTAGAACTCTGTTCTTAAACTTTAACACTTTTCACATTTGATCCTAAAGGATGTGCTTTACGTCCGTAACTGCTCTTCTGTACCTAGGAACTCCTGCAGGAATAAGCAGGGATTGTTGTATCTTAGATATGACTCCCCAGCTCATCCAAACTCAGTGATACCCAATAAATACTCATCAGTTGTGACATCGGCACCGACTATAACAGATTCTATTGTGTAGAGATTGGTCCTTGTATAACTAACTGATAGTACATGATAAATATTTTTTAAAGTCATTGAAAAAAGTCACAGTATTAATAATTGGTCAAAACAGAACAATATTATTGAAGTAACATTTTTTTACTTATCTAAAATTTCAGCCCGCGCCAGTGTGGCTCAGTGGACTGAGTGCCGGCCTGCAAACCCAAAGGTCATTGGTTCGATCCCTTGTCAGGGCACATGCTTGGGTTGTGGGCCTGGTCCCTGGTTGGGGGGTGGTGCAAAAGGCAACCAATTGATCGATGTGTCTCTTGCACATAGATGTTTTTCTCCCTCTCTCTCTCCCTTCCTTCCCTTCTCTCTAAAAATAAATAAATACAATCTTTTTTAAAAAATAAAATTTCAGTGTTTGAGAAAAAGCAAATTTAATTGAGAGAGGAAATGGATAGTTTGAGGATTTTGGTAAAGACTTTTCTGGAAGTATATTTGAGGGTTTCTGATGTTAAGTCTGATAATGACATTTAAACTTCAAATAGTTTTATGTCATTTTGTGGTTTTAATAAATTTAATTTATATTTTACAGTATGTTATTAGCATTTGACTTAATTTCACTACTATTCTGGCTCTTTAAAATATTCTCAGAAAGTTCTGCTTTTTCAGGGTCATAATTGACTGAGAAGCAAAAGAGAGAAACTTGAGGAGGAGAGCACCTGTCTGTTTCCTGGGTTTGGGGTTTAGGGATAATCCTGCCAGAGTGGAGGAGACATATTGATTGAGACACTTCTTTCTGATCGCCACCAGGTGGCACCATTGGCCCAAAATGACTGGGTTCCTGACCAGAATCAGTGTGAAGGGGAGGTTTGGAGAGCCCATGTGCTGTGGGGTGGAATAGCAGGGTGGGGGAGGTTGGTTAATCTTGTACCTTTTTTCCTTCTAATTTAGAGATTTTTGTAAGTTAAGTGTTTATAAAGCAGGGAATGACGCACGTGATGAATTTATATCTTATTTCATCTGATAATTTTCATTGTTTTTCTTTTTTTTCTTTCTGTACCTGTAGTACCTTCAGAAACAGGTAACATTTTTCTAACAGTCACTTTGTATTCTTGCATCTTGCCTTTATAATGCTTTTGTTTCTTACCATAGAGGATAATGGGAAGTTAATACACTCTGACTTATGGCACTAGAAAAATCAACATGCAGATTCCCACAATTGCAGTTTGGTTACAGCCAGTAGATTTCCTGAACTTTGCAGAAATTCTGGATACAACATTGTACTATGTAATAGCAACAATGTTTTTCAAAAACTCAATCATGGCTCTTAATAAAACAGCATTTTTAGAATTTACAGTAGTAGATATTGGTAACAGTACAGGATGGAATAGTCAGGTCTTGCCTCCTTCTAACCAATGACACAGTGTTGATCTGAAATAAAGTATTTATGACCAGCGTTGTTCCCCGGCATCCTGACACTATAGCCTCATTTTGTGCTGACTCCACTTCTGCACATCATTCCCTAAACTCTTTACTCATCTTTAAAAAGATACTTTCTTTGGGGGAAATTTTAAAAGGAGTATCATTCCTTACTAAGTGAAACACTTCTGCATTTTCTCTTCCCCCATTTGTGCCTTGAAAGAAAACGATAATACTAAGTAAAAACATGTAAGTAGTTACAAGTTTGGTATTATAAACAGAAGACTTAAGATAAAAATGTAGTATCGAAAGAAACAGATTATTTAATAAATGGCCTTGTACTACAACCTCAGCTGTGATGATCAGCAGAGTAAAACTTAGTTCAGTGAGGTTTGCTTTTTAACCTTGGCACCCACTGAGGGAGCCTTTCTGTTTTGTTTAGAATAATATGGATGATAAAAGTTTAAGCAACTTTTCCTGTAAATTTCAATCTTTCAATTTCATGTCAGCTTGAGTCTCTCTGGTCTTTCCTGAATATTTTGCCATACATAAAATGCACACACCTGCAGTGAGAAAAAGTCCATTTATTTGGTTCTTTAAAAAAAGTCTCTTGCCGCTTTGAGCTTTAATTTTGTGAATAGAAACAATGCTATTTTTAATGCTGGATTTCCATCTAAATATATGCTGTTCAATAATTAGTGTGATTAAAACATTAACAGGGTCTTAACTATAAATTAATAATCCTGTTGCTTCTTGCAGAAGATAACATGACTGGTTTGAAATTTTCCTGTAGTCTAATTTTCTGTCCTAGTCTTGTGAAAATTAAAGTAGGGAATGTTAGCATCCTAATGTAAATTACTTGGTGTTTTCTCAGAGCATTTCACATTCTTGAAAATATACATGCAAAATTAATTCTTACCAAGAATTTGTGTAACTTTAAGATGATACAGAATAGGGCTTGGCTCAGGTGAGTGTCTTATAAAGCCAGCTTTTTTGACCATCAGAGGCTTTCACTGAAGATGGTATTAGGGAGACAGCATCAGCCTGTTAGAACTTCTTAGAAAACTTTTCCAAAATGCAGTCATCTTCCGGTGACTACTCCATCCCACTCCCAGCCGAGGCGTGCTGCTCTGGGGAGTGCCTCCCTGTGCGCTCTCAGCTCTTACAAGTAATAGCTCTGGGAGGGTGCTGCAGGTAGAGCTGGCAACCAGGCCCAATGACACAACCCTGGCGTTATTACCTGGTGTGTGTGCGCACACCGGTATGCTCCTGGTTTGGGGTAAGAGGAGGTAAGAGCTAGTTAGACTTGCACTGCCAACCCTAAATTTCCCGGCTCTAATTTCTTGTTTTGTCATCACTTTGCCCACTAGGGAGCAGATGGCAGTTACAGATGCGATAGTTACAGAAGCAGTACAAATCACAAATCCCACTGGAATTGACTCTTTTGAGCTGTTGATTGTTTCCTTCCTCCTCTTCCTTGGTGGCAGATTGCAGGAAGGGTGAGGGCACACTGGCTGGGAGCCAGTGCACTCTAGCAGAACCAGAGCAGCAGAAGTGTCAGTGCTTAGCCCTGTGATAGGGGATACCCTATGAGTCCAGCCATTTAAATGCAAGCCTTTATCTCCAATCCGTTTTCTAACGCTATCGTTGTCTGAGTGGACCTTTATTTAACTGGGTCCTAACTCCCAGCCAGGGAAAATTCCCTTTGCTGGATAGCTATGGATAGGTATTTCCTGTCATGTGAATACACTGCTGCCACGTTGCTCTCACAAGTTCTGGTGCTCCTCCGTAACATGAACAGGAGAAGAGGGCACAAGTGAAAAAGAATTGATAGGCCTGCCACCTGAACCTTCTGGGGACAGGTAACACTGTCAGGCCTGAACTTTGTAACAGGGTGGCTGTAGGGGAAAATGGTTTCTGTGAAGGGGTGAGTCATTTAGAAGAGCTTTGGTTACTAATGGCAAGAGTATGCTAGGATACTGATGCCTGCATATAGATATGCATTCAGAAAGTTAAAAAAATCTTATATCTGGCTGCAGGAGCTCCGAGGGTAGCTCTGAGTACTGGGTTCATTAAACGAGATCTTGTTTTGGGTGGATGGATAGAAATTTTCTGGATAACTTCTAAAACAGAATAATTATTCTTAATATAATTGAATGACTTATAAATACATGAAAACATTTTATGTGGCTTAAAATTATATGGGAATACATACCTTCATTAATAATTATCTATGATGCCAGTTTTTTGAAGGCCATAGTATTAGAAGCATTACACATATTGTTAATGAGTATTATTCATTCTGTATTAGGAATTCCCTTTTCATAATTATTTTTTAGCATATATCTTTGTTAATTTATGTGTGTATAGTGTGGTCCATTGTCCTGTTGGTTGTACGATCTTTCAACCAAAAACATCCTTTGCAGATGCTTTTACTGACTCTGCTATCACTGCTAAAGTAAATGGTGAACACAAAGAAAAGGACTTGGAACCCTGGGATGCAGGTGAACTCACTACCAACGAGGAACTAGAAGCTTTGGAAAATGACGTTGTAAGTAATATCTTTGGAATAGTATCAGACTGTGGCCACATGATGTGGTATGATATCCCATCACTTGGTTTTAACTTAAGTTTATTGTTGTTACAAGTATATTTAAAGCAGCAGTTTTATTGTGCAAATATAGATTGTCATCTGTATTTCTCCCCAACCCCTCCCCAAGGCAGTAAATACAGAAAAACGTTTCTTTGGGATGCTTACAAATTATTTCTGTTTTTAACTTAAGTCATAATAAGCAACTTGCAAGTTTAATGGGAAACTGGAAATGCCAGCATATTTTGCTTTGAGTGCTCTGCCCCAATAAGGCAGCCCAAGGCAAGCAGTGTGGTGTCTTAATTGTCCATGGACTTTAGGTGGGGTCCAAGTATAACTTTTAGGCTTGTCTGAGGAAGAAGTACTAATTATTAAGGTATATAGTTAGGTAACATTAGAAATTTACATGTAAATTTCTTGGTCTTAAATTAAGATCATTCTCCACAAAAATCTATTTCTAAAATTCTGTTGGCAAATATTTTTACTTTTCCCATGACATATCATCTATAAATTCAAATGCTTAATGAAGACTCTATGACTCCGTAAATTTTACTAATTTACGGAGTCTGGAGTTTCTAAACTGCAGAGATAGAAAGCAAAGTCTCTTGCTAAAAATGAGTGTTATCAAAACTTAAATTGGATGAAGACTCTTCCATTGAGTATTACAGAGAGGTCTTTATAACAAATCTGTGTTTTATCTTTAAGTCATTCAGCCATAAATACATAGGAAACATCATTATTTAGATATGATGTAGGCAACATATCATTATTAATTTTCAAACTTTAAGAATCATACATAACCTAATGTGAAGATTCTCAGGCCTGTGTAGCACATCACCTGTGTGGAGGGTATAGAGAAGTAGCCCCCCCCCCCGCCTTTTTTTAAATTAATTTTAAAGAGAAAGAAACATTGATTTGCTGCTCCACCCATTCCTTTACTGGTTGATCTTGTGTGTGCCCTGACTGGGGATCAAACCCTCAACCTTGGCAAATTGAGATAACACTAACCAACTGAGCTACCTGGCCAGGCAGGCACTATCTTCTTTTTTTTTTTTTAATGATAGTGAGGCAGGAATATTGATAGATGCTTTCTAGAGAGCATTCAGGCAATATCTATCAAAATTTAAAATACTCATACACTTTGGCCTAGCAGTTCTACCTCTGAAAATTTATTTTTGCCCTAACATATCCATAAGACGTTCAAGTAATTATGTATGAGGATTTTTTTTGGCAGCCATATCTGACAGTGAGATTGGTTACATCCTCACTGTCCATTGGTAAGGTGTGGGTTAAGTACATTTATTTTGCCTCCATTCAATGAAATACTATATGTCCACTAAAAAGAACAGTATTCTGATATGGAAAGATATACAGGACTTAATGGAAGAAAAAGCAAGTTTTAGAACAAGAAGACCCTATTTGAAATTTTTCAAAGAGAGAGCTGATTATATTCTTATACATGCATAAAGACTGTCTGTTAGGCTATTCCCAAGAAGTTGCTGACAGTGGTCATGCACACTGGGATCGGAAGACGTTAGCTTTATTGGGTGCCTTTCTGCACAGTTTGGATTTTTCACCTGGAGCATATACTACTTGGGTAATTTTAAAGCCTCCATAGGTAACTGATTTCCTGTCCATGTGTTAGGCCTAAAGAGTTTCGGTAGCCATGGAAATACATTATAGTTTTATCTATAAGGACCCAAAGTTGATGGGTGACCTTAGAGGCAAGCTGCAGTTTTACAGTTGCCGTCACCATTGCTTGGATGGTTCTGTGTTCCCTCTTCTGAGATAGATAATGATTCTGTACTGTATTCGGCCTTTTCCATCAGTCAGACTTTAAAAGAGGAGTTGAAACAAGAGAGAAAGAAGTGATTACCCAGACATGAATATTTACCAGTGAAGATTTTTCCCGCCTCTGTCCCCGATTCATTGATTCTTATAGATTAAAGGATGTAGTTTTTAAAAAATGTAGTTTAGCATTAGAGGATGGTAGCTTTCTCACAGAATTGTAGTTATCCACACTGAAGTTACAGGTTAGGGCACCAAGGCCTAGAATTTCATTGTTGAAGACCCACAGCTACTAATGCCAAAAGCTAGTTCTAAAACCTCGTTCTTGCGGCTTTGTCCAGTGATTACCTGTTCATTCTGTCATGCTACCTTCCCTTTGAGCATGCCTAGGAGGGGGAGGATGGCAGGGATCTATATGTACCATGCTCCTCCTGAAAGCAGTGATGCAGCAGAGAAGTTTTGGCTTCTCCCTTCCTTCCCTCAAAACACTGGGAATATTTTTCCCTCTCAGAAAACACCACTTGTCTGGCACAGACCTGATGATCAGTCAACTCAAGAAGATTCCCAGTAACTATCCTATGGAAAGATGGCTGTTAGGGCATTGCTCACTCTTGAGTTGGCCCACATCCACTTGAACGCATACTTTTTACTTCTTTCACAGGAGCACCTGCTCCTTGGCCTCTTCTTTTTCTCTACCTGAATAAAACTTGATTTAAAAGCTTCTCAAAAAGAAAAAAGAAAGATGGCTGTAAGGGAATAGGGAAAGGAGAGAATCCTGACCTAAAGGGTTCATATTTTATGAAGTAGCAGATGTTCTAAACTTTTGCTAGTAATCTCTCAAATAACTGTTTTATATAGTTATTTACCAACTTAAAGGGGTTAATGTAGGAGAAAAATTTTTCCTTAAAACATTTCTAGGCCTGGCCAGTGTGGCTCAGTTGGTTGGGCACCATCCCCCAAAGCGAAAGGTCAGCAATTCAGTTCCAGGTCAGGGCACATGCCTGGGTTATGGGTTCAGCTCGTGGTCAGGGCACATACAAGAGGCAACCAGTCAATGTTTCCCTCCCTTTCTTTCTCCCTCCCTTTTCTTCTCTCTAAACAAAACAAAAAAACATTTCTAAAGGAATATTTTGCCTATATTTTTAATTTGCTAGATTGTGCTGGTATAGTATGATAGATATTGTTAATGCAGATATTGACTATAACTGAATTAAAGAAGACAAATACTTTGTCATTTTGAAAAATGAGCTTCATTTTTTTCTAGTCTAATGGATGGGATCCCAATGATATGTTTCGATATAATGAAGAAAATTATGGTGTAGTGTCTACATATGATAGCAGTTTATCTTCATATACGTAAGTTTAAACAGTTTGCTTTTATTTTAGTGCATTTTGTCTGTGATTCTCATCAACTTAAATTATGATGTTGAGTAAATGTTTCTGCTGGATTTTAAATTAAACAATTCTGTGAAAGTATTATCCTGTTACTGCCTAAGTTGATAAATTCCCATTAAAACAGGGAATAAATGTAGTTTACCTGTACTCTAAATTTATGCTCTAAAGAAATTTTATTTTTGTTTTGTTTTTAAGTTGTAAAAACTTAAGTTTTCAAGTGTAGAGGTTATGGGGGAATAATCAGTTTAACGAGTTTTGGAAATGTTACATTCCTCTAGGGAAAAGGTAACAACATACTTCAAATTTTGATTTATAAATAAATAGATCACTATAACACTCTTACAGTTTTACCAGCATTTCAAGCTCTCAATCCCCTTAACAGTTGATTGTGACAAATACATAAACTATGACTTTAAAACACTCACTTGGCTTTTTCTTTTCCTCATGTTTCAGGGTGCCCTTAGAAAGGGATAATTCGGAAGAATTTTTAAAACGAGAAGCAAGAGCAAACCAATTAGCAGAAGAAATTGAATCAAGTGCCCAGTACAAAGCCCGGGTGGCCCTGGAAAATGATGATAGGAGCGAAGAAGAAAAATACACAGCAGTTCAGAGAAATGCCGGTGAACGTGAGGGTCACAGCACAAACACTAGGTATTTAAAGGAAATCATGATGCAGTGTTTTGGATATACAACTCAAGGTCTGTGCGACAAGGTGTATTATTTTATTTCATCTTCCTTTAATGTAGATGCGGTAGAGAATGCAAATGGAATTGGTTTAAGGTTCTATTAAAGAAAAGGTTAATCTTGGAAAATGTTTTTAGAGCATCAGCTCTGGAGCCAAGTGTTGGATATACACAATGAGTAAGCCGCGGTCTGGAAGAGCTCATTTAGATCAGAGGCGTGTTCAGAGTACTAGGATCATCCAGTGTGTGGAGGAACTAGCATAGGCTGTAGGGTCAGGGGAGGTGATATTTTGGGGTAGGATGGTAAATCTGTCTGCCACTCAAAGAGAAATAAGAAGGAAGAACTCCTCACATGGTGAAAAGGTATGCGAAAGAACCCAACCAGCTGAGGAAAAGGCTCGTGTTTCATGTGTCCGGAAAGCAGGGTGAGCATTGACAGTGTGGTGGTGGCTGCTGGTGATAGGGAGGGAGGCAGCGAAGGGCTTCACGTTCCACACTGAAAGAGCCCCTTGTAGGCAGGGGATGGTGTGAAGGGACTCTGGGACTTTGAGAACTGACTGAAACATGGAGATGAGTTAGTTTTGAAATAGTTGAAGTGTAAGACTTAGTAACCAACTAGACCAGGGCTAGCAATAGAAAAGTTAGAAAAACCAGGGGCAACCCTGAGGTTTATTTGATAACTAAGTGAACTGATGATTGTACTGGTAATGGAGCTAGAAAACTTGGAGCAAATTTGAGGGGAGATACACTGAGTCCATTTGTGCAATTTACTGTATGTGAGGGTCTCGCAGCTCTTACATTTATTTGTTCACAAACGTGTTGGAAAGTACCTGCTGTATACCTAGTCGAGTAAGATGCCCTATTTTAGGACACTCATAGCTTAGAGTTTGGTGATTTGAATTAACTTGTTCATTGGGAGATGTTGAGACTGGTGGTGAAGATTTGGGATTCATCAGCAGTGCTGATATTAAAGCCATGAAAAACCATGAATAGGCACAGAAAGAAGAGATCTGAGAAAACAAAGAGAAAGCCAAGGAGGAAGAAAATTTCGGGAAGGTAGAGCATGATTGATAGACTCAGCCATGTAACAGGCCAAGGAGATTAGAATGAACACACAGCTATTAAACTTTGTGCTCAGGAAGGAGAACCTGAGGGAAAGGAAAGGCCAGAGACAAGAACTCAGGGCAAAGTGGAAGGAAAGGGTTGTCTGGGAGTGAGGCAGTTCGGGTTGAGTGTTAAACCTTTTTATAACAAGAATCCCCTTCTTCCTAAATTACTGTAAGGTTTGTCTCATTGACCTGGTACATATTAGAATAAAATAATTTAGAGGATCTCATTTTTCAGGGAAAATAAATACATCCCTCCTGGACAAAGAAATAGAGAAGTCATATCCTGGGGAAGTGGAAGGCAGAATTCACCGCGTATGGGCCAGCCTGGGTCGGGCTCCATGCCATCAAGAGCCAGCTCTCACACTTCAGATTTCAACCCGAATTCTGGTTCAGACCAAAGAGTAGTTAATGGAGGCAAGTATTTTGACCAAATTTGTCAAATGCCATTGATCAAATATATAGCTTTCTAATATTTACAAGTTTGCATTATGATAAGAATGTGCACACCTTTAATGATTTCTTTGGAGTAGTTTTCACTTCAAAAATTATTTAAATTTACCTGGTGGATATCAAACTAGTAAAATTAGTATAAGTCATTGGAATATATTTAACATGATGAAATACTCATGTATTAAGATAAGGTGCTAAATTTAACCAAAGACATTTACTTGGCAAAAAAATTTTAAAAACCTCCACATATAAAGAAATTGGAAACTTTGGGTAGGTTCTCAATTTTAAAAACACTTCATGATAAAACTATTTACACAAAACTTAAATGGAAAATTCTAATCTGTGTGAAACACTCAGTGGTTAATATAGATTTATTTTTATTTACTGTTCACTTATATATTTATGTTCTGCTTACTTCAAGAAAGTTTTGAGGTGACTTGTAACACAAGGCACAACCAAGAGTCATGTGAAGAGAAGAATGAAATGTGCTTAAAAAACAGTAAAACAACCCTTTGTGAATGGTGGATATTGTAGTTCAGCTAAAGTAAAGTAAAAGAAACTTGCATCTTTAGTAGGAAGGTATCCGTCTACTCTTAAGTCTACATTGAATATAGCTCATAGGTCATGGATCTTTCATTTAAGTCTAGGATGCTAGACAGCAGTACTGTAGACAGTATGGAAATACAGTGATTAACAATAGTGATAGTATGTTACTAACTTAGGGGGAAAGTGGGCAGTCAATTTTAGATACTTAAGTTTGGAAAGTTAGGAGGAAAAGTAGAGAACTCCCAAGTTTCCAATTTCGTTTATTTTCATTAAGTCTTTCTCCAGAATTCCTCTCCAAATGCACACTCTTGAGTATTTCTGTACTTAGTAATGGGGGTGAAATTTCTTTGCTCACTGAGTAAAGAATTTTAGTTGTTGATGAACAGAATTTTCAAAGTCAAAAACCCAAAGGGGGCTGGGAAATGTATGATACTCAAGTGTGTGGAAGCCTATGGAGAGGAGACCTGGACTGTCTCCTGAGATCAAGGTAAGTGTTACGTTGTGTTTATATGTTAGCTGTATTTGGACCTGTGCATATCCATGAGTGTCAGTTTATTTGGGGATGACTGCTCTGTAGTTGCATTGTTCGTTAAGCAGTCTCTTAGATAAGTTAATTATCTCTTAAGATCAGTAAAAACTGCATAATTATACAGGAGGCCCCTCATTTCCTAATTTGATAAAATTAAAATGGTTTTTTTTGAAAAGGCAATGACTATTAACCTTTGTCACTCCTGTGACTCTAGAAAATAGTGGAAGTAATGTTTTATTTCTACTTAAATGAACTTGCTTAATGAGATTTCAGACTGAACCTTATGTTCATGTATACACTAGATGAAATTCACAGATGGTTATGAGAAACCAGCGTTTTTAATGAGATTTTATAGCCACTGCTTATTTTCATTATGTCTCAAAAGCTAAAACTAATGTAAATCTTATTCCTGAGTTTTTGTGATTTATTGTGTTAAATTATCTAGTATATATTATTCTCCTTTAATCTATTGATTACTGAGAAACAGTTATAGAAACAGGATTAATAGGCAAAGTCTTAACTGTCTTCTTCAGTAGTATGTGTAGATCCTAATTAACCCTTTGGGAACGTGTATTCATTTAAACAGACTTAATTTTAAGGAGGTTAAAGTAAAATGTGAATTTATGTCAGTTTAAGTTATGCTAAAACTTATCACAAATCAAATGACTGTCCTCAAAGGGTTAAAATGTACAAGAAATCATTTTTATCATTTTACTTTTTTTTTCTGTTTACTTTTTTCCCTCATTTTTTTCTTTAGTTTTTATACTTTCCTTCATATCATTTGTTCTGTCAGGTGTTCCCTGGCCATCGCCTTGCCCATCTCCTTCCTCTCGCCCACCTTCTCGCTACCAGTCAGGTCCCAACTCTCTTCCACCTCGGGCAGCCACCCCTACACGGCCGCCCTCCAGGCCCCCCTCGCGGCCATCCAGACCCCCGTCTCACCCCTCTGCTCATGGTTCTCCAGCTCCTGTCTCTACTATGCCTAAACGCATGTCTTCAGAAGGTACAATACCACAATTTGTTCATGTTTTTGTTTGTCTTTGTTTAACTCCTATGTGAGTTTATAATTAGAAAAGTTTCCTCTTCATTATTTGATAACCTATAATTTCCGTGTTTTAACTTTAGTTTATTAAAACTATTTCTATTAACCTTTTGTTCATTAGAGAGAAATTTGATAAAATGCTGTGTGAAACTGTGAACTATCGTGAATTGTAAGAATGGGGTTTATCTCTGCCTGGTAATGGAGCTCTTTACAGCCCTGGAAGGTCTGCCCAGGGCTGCCTCCCCTCCCCGTTGGCACTGTGTACAGTGGCTGATGGTGAACAGTCTTGGACTTGCTATAGAATCTACTCATTTCACAGCTCCTTGGCCAAGGTACTAGTGAACCTACCTGTTGGCCAAAGGCAGGAGTGGTAATTGAGGGATATTTTTTGAAAGGGACAGTCCATGTAGCTGCCTTTGTGTGTCAGCCTTTGTATTACAGTCATGTTTGGTGTTACGTTTGGAGAAATTAGCTTTGCAGTATTTTATAATGAAAGTCAACTTGAATCTTGAAGAAGTTCTTGATTTAATAAAAACCATGTATGAATTTTAATCTTTTTTTGCCCTTGTAAAAAAGTAAAATAAAATCCTGTAATTCTCATTCAATATTTGATGCTAATTCACCATTGCTACATATCAAATATATGGATATGTTGTAGAAAGATGACATTTTAACTTAAATGCAGTGCATAAATATAAAACCTTGTGTTCTGAATGATAATGTCCTTTTGATGTTCAGATATTTGTGTTAAAATTTTAATGTGATTTGTTCATTAAAATTGCCATTGATATAGCTTATGTTGATACTAACATGGTCTTCTGGCATAAAGCACTTCCCTGGAGAAACTTATGTTGGCTGCCTTTTAATAAGTTGTTGCCATCCAGACAGGGAGGTCATGCGACCCTGACTACAAGTGGCTAACCTTCACCAGCACATTGCACTCATCTTCAAGGGGACTGACTTACTCAGAAGTGCCTGTATTGGTGGCCGCTACACAACAAGCTAAATTCCGTCTAAATATTTGTTACAGTCCATTGTTTAAATGAGTGATGTTCGTATCATGAGAATATGTTAGATAAAACAGGACTCCTTAGTGAGCGTGAACATCTTCATTACAGCAAGGTGTTAAGACTGCTTGTGGACTGTTGGTGCAGAAGTATACTTTTTGCACATTGAGGGACGCTACACTCAAGGTTTCCGCTTAGCTGATTTGGACTGAAATGTGTTATGTCGTTATGTAGTTTGGTAACACTGAAGCATTTTTTAAGTGTTAACTGCAAAATTTATTAAATATAGTGGTTTCTGTGCTTAATAGAGGGGAGTATGTTTTGTTTCTGTAAGTATTTAATATATTACCAAAAAGAATGAGTTTTTTAAAGTTGTAGTTTGATTTTCTTGAGCAATGCCATACTACTATATCCATCTTTTTCTAACAGATATTTAAAAAATATGTAAAAATGTGTAAATACCCAATTCTTAAATCATTCTTTGATACAAATCACTCCTGTCTCCAGTTGAAAACAATTCTGTGTAAGATTAACATTCTTTTAAGATTGTATCCATGATTAAATTCCTGTTGAGGACACAAATTAATTTGACATTTTAAAAGGTATGGCAGCAAGGCAAAGGTGAGCAGCCTGGGCTCTGACATCAGGAATGAGTTTTGTCAAGTGTTTGCTCTGTCAGGCTTCTCTGATGAGAGCCATTCTCTCCAGGTTTCACTGGTTTCATTTGACAAAAGTAGAGACTTCTTTAGAAATAGAAATCATTAATAGGGTGACAGAATTAATGACGTAGAATTTTGGTTAATTCTAATTCATGTAGTGCAAATTCCTTCCCTAAAAGTCAGTCATTCTGGTTTTAAAAGTCATGGGTTCGCACTAGAATTTCCAGCCCATAACCTGTTGAGTTGGAGAAGCTGCTCACAGGCAAGGGCCGGTGAGCCAGGGGTTATAAAATTGATCATCATGGCAGGAGAGGGAGATAAACTAAAACTCTGGAGAAATTTAAGGCGGTGTGTACATAAATTTTAGTAACACAAAGACACATAAAGATTAATTGTTTTTTTGTCTTAAAATATTTTTAAATAATTTTAGAATATAGAAAATTTAAGGGAAAAAGTTAAAAGTATATGGTAAAATAAAAATTCCGGCATGTAGCCATAACTTCAGTTAATGTTTTATTATACTTATTTTTATATACTTAAAAATAATGGACATAGGTTAAACACATGGCTAAAATCTTTGAACAGTTCTGACATTTTGTTGATTTCTTACCACCAACTTTATCCCTCCCTTTCTTTAAAAATAAAGAGAAATAAAAGTTATTTTATGAAACTGTGGCATTCTACAAACTAATTCTGAAAAAATATAGCTAAAAGCATGGACGGGTTGTCCCCCCCACCCCCGCCCCCGTTTTTTTTAAACCAAGGAAAACAGAGACTGAATGAATGAATGTGAATGGAATATGTGTGAATGGAGGTGTGTGTGTATTTAGCAGAAAAGTTGTACCGATGGACATTGTGGCATTTATATCAGGTTCACTGTTCCTTTTTTAGGGCCTCCAAGGATGTCCCCAAAGGCCCAGCGACACCCTCGAAATCACAGAGTTTCCGCTGGGAGGGGTTCCATTTCCAGTGGCCTAGAATTTGTGTCCCATACACCTCCAAGTGAAGCAGCTGCCCCTCCAGCAGCAAGGACCAGTCCCGCAGGGGGCACCTGGTCATCCGTGGTCAGTGGCGGTAAGTAACACTTGGCTTAAGGCATAATGACAGCCTTATAGTAGAGTTACAGTTTATTCCGTAACTCTACTATTTGTTAAAAAAGGGCAGTGCTCAAGCTGTTCGAGGAAGTATAAGTGTCTGTATTAAAAATGAAGTAACCAGGAATTGGAAAATGTGTATTTTTATTCTGGGCTCCACAACTCACTTCACCGTGTGTCAGAGCAAATCCTGTGATCATTCTGAATTTCAGTTTTCTCTACGAGTAAAATAATTTTTGCCTAGTTTACTTTATGGATTTGTGATGAGACTCATATAATGCTCAGAAGTATGAATGCACTTTTTATAAAGTACCACTGAAATATAAGTGAAATACAGAATGTCACAGTGTTTGGAGGGACTGTATTTCCATTCTTGTTGGGCCTTAAGTGCTGTGTGTTTCTATAGCATCTATGTGTGGTACTAATTCCTGACTCTTCAGTATTTAGTATTTATATGTGGTACTAATTCCTGAATATTCCTTATAATTTCCCTTATAAGGACTATTAAAGACACATGAGGGACTCAAGTTTTATCTGTGAATGGCCTGAGGGACGTGCTGACAGCAGCTATAAAGGTGTAAAAATTAACACTTTGACAAGATCTTATAATTAAACTAAGACAGCTTTTGCTACTTAATTTTGCTTTCATGGTAACTGTGGAGAGTTAGAGCATGTAATGATTGTGGGTTTTGGGTCACAGTCTATCTTAATCAGTGTATCAAACCTTTAAAAGAAAAAAATATCTTTAAACTTAATGCACAAAAAGATATCCAGCTCTGTTAAATGTCTTGCATTGACATACACTGCTCGGCTTTATGTACTTACAATTATAATGTAAGTTCCTTGCACTTTTCTATTTTCTTCTTTGGTCTTCAATTATAAGGAAATAACAATTCAATTAACAAAACAATTTCTAAAAATCTTTATTTCTACCATTAATCAGTCATTTGACATACTCCAGTGATCTAGAAATGAATTTTGAGAGTAAAACATGATTATAGAAGTGAAAAAGAAAAAACATAGATGTTAGAGATATATGTAGGCCCAGCCACTGTGGCTCGGTTGGAGCATTGTCCTGTAGACCAAAAGGCTGTGGGTTCGATTCCTGGTTGGGATGCATGTGGGAGGCAACCGATCAAAGTTTCTCCCTCCCTCCTTCTCCCCCCTCCCCAGGAATCAATAAATATGCACATAAAAATAAAAGTTTTTTTAAAATGCCCATAGTACTGGCTGGTGTGGCTTAGTGGATTGAGTTCCAGCCTGCAAACTGAAAGGGTCGCTGGTTCAATTCCCAGTCAGGACACATGTCTGGGTTGTGGCCAGGTCCCCCAGTTGGGGGCATATGAGAGGCAACCAATTAATGTTTCTCTCCCTCTCTTTCTCTCTTCCCCTCTCTCTAAAAATAAATAAATAAAATCTGTAAAAATATACGTAGAACAGTGTAGCAAGTTTGTTCTTTACACTAATTAGAAAAATGGCAATTATTGAATAATAGTTTCCCTCTGTGACCCTTGTGACTCAAAAAAGCAAAGAACCACCAATGTGAAGCAAATTGAACCATTGTCTGTAAACCTTTGAATCTCAACTCTATAAATGGGTTCGTAATGGAATGTGAAACCTGTTAGATGCTTATTTTGAAGTTATGGCATAGAAACCCCTGCTTAGGTCATCTTCCCTTCTTGGCTAAATTGATCCCTGATTTCCTTAGATACTGCAGAATAGGTCTTGATGTGGCAAGAAAGAACATATACGATCGTCTGACTGTGAGCTGCTAAAATGTGTTTGCATTTGTTATTAGACAGAGAAATGTATAAGCGTAATTCTTAGGGATCCCGCACATACAGTTCGTTGTTTTTTTTTTTTAAAGAAACCATCTCATTTCTTAGTAGAGAATATTGCTATCTTTATCTTTTGAAGTGGCATTTATCTTGCCTTAGAAATCCAGTTTCTAACTTCATTTAATATACTGCCTTTGGAAGTAATATATTTAGTTAGAAGAAAAACTACAGCTGTACTTAGGTAGTAGCGTATTCTTAGTCACCATCACTGTCCCGAAGACCTTGGAAAAGAAAAACGGGGTGATAGGGTAAAGAGCATTGGGAATGGGGGTCGGGTAAGACTGTTTTTACCAAGGTCTTAAGAGAAGCCTCTTTGAGGACATGCCATTTGAGCTGAGAATGTAATGAATAACTTTTATCTTTCTTCTAGTTCCAAGATTATCCCCCAAAACTCACAGACCCAGGTCTCCCAGACAAAACAATATTGGAAATACTCCTAGTGGACCAGTTCTTGCTTCTCCCCAAGCTGGTATTATCCCGACTGAAGCTGTTGCTATGCCTGTTCCAGCTGCATCTCCTACGCCTGCCAGTCCTGCATCCAACAGAGCTGTTACCCCATCTATTGAGGGTAGGTAAGAAAGGGCTTTCAGGTCCTACTGTCATCTGTAGAGTGCAGTGTTTTAGGTCGGACATTAGACGAAAAATGCTGTGTTTTATTCAAAGGTAGGTATTTGTGTGCACATTTAAAGCTTTATGTAAATGGAGTCAGCTGTTAAGTAATACTGCTAATTTCATATGTTATTCTTGAATGTCTTTTGTTAAGAGGGTTAACATTGCTGAGTAGTAAATACTAATATAAAATTATTGGTATTTCATATGTTGACAAAGGAGAAAAACCTTATTAAATGGAAATAATCTTTTCCAAAAACATAGAAGATCAAAATTGTTGAATATTTCCCCGTTTTACTTTTCTATCATGTATCTAACTTTGAATTTTTTAAAAAAATTACCTTCTAGCTAAGGATTCCAGGCTTCAAGATCAGAGACAGAACTCTCCTGCAGGGAATAAAGAAAATGTAAAGCCTAATGAGACATCACCTAGCTTCTCAAAAGCTGAAAATAAAGGTTTGAGCTTTAAAAAGTCTTTAAGCATAACTGTAGAAACATGAAGGAGCATATCTAGTCTCATGCCTGATAGAAAGTATTTTTGATCAGCACTTTTTCTTAATACTGTGCATATGTAAATGCATTATTTGACAAATTCCTAAGTCTATAATTAATATATTAAAATTTCTATTTTGATAACAGAACTTACTTTCTCTTCTAACATCCCAACCTAAAAGAATTTTAAGTTAAAAATTAGAGATGAATCTGTATCTAATAGGTATTAATTTTACAGGTATATCACCAATTGTTTCTGAGCATAGAAAACAGATTGATGACTTAAAGAAATTTAAGAATGATTTTAGGGTAAGTGTTGCATTCGAATTTTATTTATTTATTTTTCGTTCTTATTTTTGCACTAGAATTTTAAAACATAAATACTAAATGTTACTAAGAATTATTCTGTGATCTATTTACAAAAATGGGTTATGTATACAACCACAAACATTGAACAGTGTGTATAGAAAGCTAAGCATTCTTAAAGTTGGATTTGCCTGTACTTTTAAGTAGGGTAACTAAAATCATGACATTTGATAAGAACAATATAGGTATCAAGTGAAAGATAAAATTTTGACACTAGAAACTACTATAAGTTGTTACTTGATATTTATTTGATTACTTTATTCGCTGAAGAGCAGAGCAAGGCCAAGGTGTTAATTATCTGATGTGATGTGGCAAGTAGAAGATGCCCCATACCCTGGGGTTCTGACGTGTTGAAGATTTACATTTTGTGCACAAATGTGTTGTAGAAATCTCTGATGGACTTCCCAAACATACTCTAATCTCTCCTAGATAACTGTGACATTCTTTTGCACAGTATTTACTAAAATATACTGTGCATATTAAGGTGTATTTTGAGACCACCTCAAGAAATCATCCTGAAACTTAGCTGCTTGGAGGGGGAAAAAATCTGGTTTTCATCCTTTTCCTCGCTGAAGTCCTCCTGTCTCCTTGTCTTCCTCGGCTGCATTCTCCCGCCAGAGGGAAGGGTTTCTTACTGCACCCTTCTTTTTACTGCATGTGAATAAGATCCCTATGCAGCAGATGATGTTATTTTGCATAATCTTCAATTTGATATCAATTATGTCATGCTATAAATATTCTTGCCCATTTGCTTTTATTTCCTCAGTATTATTTTTTACAGTCATTTATTCAGTCCATTCTTAGAATACACTTGAGTTTATTATCCTATGAAGGAAAGAAATCTATTTGCTTTGAAGCATGAGTCAGTTTATTTTAAGCAATTTTGTTGAGATAAAATTTACATATTATACAATTTAGCCATTTCAAAGGGTACGGTTCAGTGGTTTTTAGTATATTTACAGTTGTACAACCATCACCACATTCAATTTTAGAACAGTTTCTTTATCCCAAAAAGAAACCGCATACCCCTTAGCAGCCACTTCTCATTTGCTATCAAATACCCCTGTCCCCCCAGGCCTTAAACAGCCACTATTTCCCTGTCTCTGTGGATTTCCCTATTCTGGACATTTTATAATAATGGAATCATACAATAGGTGGCCTTTTGTGACTGGCTGCTTTCACTTACCATAATGTTTTCCAGGTTCATTTATGTCGGAGCATCTATCAGTACTTCGCTCCTCTTTATGGGTGAATCCTATGCCATTGTACAGATAGACCACATTGTTTATGTATTCATCAGTTGATGTGTCTTCGGGTTTCTGCCACTTTTTTACTATTATGAATAATGCTATTATAAACGTTAGTGTACAGTGTTTGTGTGGACGTGGTTTCATTTCTCTTGTGTATATACCTAGGAGTGGAATTTCTGGGTCATATGGTAAATATTTTTAATTTTTTGAGGAAAACTGCCAGGTTGTTTGCCAAAGCAGCTGTCCTGTTGTACATTCCCATCAGCCACATATGTCACAGTTATAAAGGTTTGCTCTTGTTTTCTTCTAAGAGTTTTATTTAGGGCTGTGATCATTTTGAGTATTTGTTTTGTACATAGGGTCAAGTAGGGATCCAGATTCATTCTTTTGCATGTTGATATCACTTGTCCCAGCACCATTTGTTGAAAAGAGATTGAATTGTCTTTGTGCCTTTGTTGAAAATCTGTTGACTGCAGATGTGAAGGTTTATGACTGCACTTTCCATTCTCCTCCATAGAGCTATACATCTCTCATTTAGGTCAGTACCACACTGTCTTGATTAGAGTTGGTGGTTTATTTATTTACGTATCTATTTTTAATATTAGTTTTAATCATCACCTGATGATATATTTATTGATTTTAGAGAGAAAGGGAGAGAGTGGGAAAGAGGGGAGGAGGAAGGGGATGGAGAGAGAGACACACACAGACATCGATAGGAAAGAGAAACATTGATTGACTGCCTCCTGAATGTGCCCCAGATGGTGATCAAACCTGCAACCCAGGCATGTGCCCTGACTGGATACCAAACTGAACCCCTCAGTGCACAGAATGACGCTCTAGCCAACTGAGCCATGTGACCAGGGCTGTAAATCTTTTTTAATACTTGACTTGTAAATTCCAGATAGGTACAGCATTAAAAGTCTGTCGATTTAGGATTTCTAGTCCTAATATTGTCTGGGGCCTGAATAATCAAATCTGTTATTTATTCTTTTCAGATAAACTGTTATTAGTTTGCATTTATTGAGACACTGTTCTAAGTGTTGATGTGTTAAGTTTTTTATTGTCCTAACATCCCTTTGAAGTACATCTTATTATTATTCCTAATCTCCATATGGAAACGGAGGGAAAGACAAGTTAAATAATTTTCCCAGATTCATGTTGGTAGTAAAAGATAAGCCTCGTTGTATGTGTGTTTGAAATCTAGCAATTCTTTGGGCAGTAGCCAATGCATAGTATGTACTGCATTGTTCAGTGACAGAACCACCCTCATGACATGCCCGTGTCATTGAACTATGATGATTCACAGAAACCTGGGCTTTCATTGAGACAGAAATAGGAATACCCTGTGTTGTTTTTTTCTTTTTTCTTTTTCTCTTGGAGTCAAAAGCAAAGGCAAAAAATCACAACTAAACAAATTGGATTACATTAAACTAAAAAGCCTCTGAATAGCAATGGAAGCTGTCAATTAAAAAAGAAAAAGCGGCCTACTGAATGGAAAAACATATTTGTAAATCTGATAAGGTGTTAATTTCCAAAATATATAAAGAACTCACACAACTCAATAGTGCCCCACCCAAAAAAATCTGATTAAAAAATGGGATAGATGACCAACAGATCCATAAAATGGCTCTCACTGTCATTAATCATCAGGGAGGTGCAAATCAAAATCACAGTAAATTATGTCCTCATACTTGTTAGAATGGTTATTATCAAAAAGACAAAAAATGACAAGTGCTGGCTAGGAGGTGTGAAAAGGGAACCTTTGTGTACTTCTGACAGGAATGTAAATTGATACACCAAGGGGGGAGGATCCTTGAAAAATTAAAAATAGAACTGTCATATAACTCAGCAATTCTACTTTGGGGTATTTATCCAAAGGACACAAAAACTAACTTGAAAAAGATACCTGTATCTCATGTTCATTGCATCATTATTTACAATAGCCAAGGCATGGAAGCAACATAGGTGTCCATCAGTGGATGAATGGATAAAATGTGTGTGTGCATGTGTGTACACACTAGAGAATATTATTCAGCCTTTAAAAAAGGAGGAAATCCTGCCATTTGTGACAATGTGCATGGACCTTGAGGGCATTGTGATAAGCAAAATAAGACAGAGACAAATACTATCTGATCTCACTTATATGTGTAATCTTGAAAAAAAAACAAAACCCAAACTCACAGATACAGATGGGTGGTTACCAAAGGCAGAGGATGGTGAAATTGGTGAAAATTGTCTAAAGGTACAAACTGCTAGTTGTAAAATAAGTTATGGGGATGCAATGCACAGCATGGTGCCTACAGTCAGTACTACTGTATTGTATATTTGAAAGTTACTAACAGATCTTAAAAGTTTTCATCATAAGAAAAATATTGTAACTGCGGTGATGGCTATTAACTAGACATACTGTGATCATTTCATAATATACTAGATCATTATATTGAACACCTGAAACTAATACATTCCTATGTGCCAGTTATATCCCAATTTTAAAAAGTGGTTCTATTTGTTGGGGAAAGAATCTTGGTTTTCCGTACGTTTAATATACTGCAGATAGGAAATATGGCAGAATGGTCAAAAGCATTACTTGTGCCTTAATTTTCCCATTTGTAAGTTGGCAGTAATAGTATCTACATCAAATAAGGTTATTGGAACTACTGAATGAGCTTGTAGATAGTTTAGAACAGTGTCTAGCCCATAGTGAGAACTTTTGATCCGTTTACCATTATATGAATAAGGACAACAAAGGTCTCATTTTTGCCTTACTCAAAGACACTTGTGATAAACACCAGAGAAGTCTTCTGTAGTACACAGTTGGTCTGTGTAGCCACTGCTAAAGATTTTTACGAGCAAATGCTGGCTTAAAAATTAAGTGCATGTGTTGGGACTTAAATTGTTACTGGATTCAAATAAATGTCCTGCCACCCTTCTCCCTCAGCTGCATTGGTGATGCAGTGAACCTTGAGATGCCCCTGAGCTACGTAATGCTGCTTCCCAGAATGCCAAGGGCCCCAGTCGTGGCACTTTGACATTATTCTGCCCATCCCCAGGCCAAGGATGTATGTAGCACGTGCGCTCTCTCTCCATCCTTATGGCCCCTTTTGCTGAGCAGCTGCCCAGAGCTGCTGCTCATATTTGTTCTCATCCCCACCATTACGACTTCTACTTGCTGCCCTTTTCCTTCTGTTTTCCTTTCCATTTTCTTCAGCCATCCCTGTTTTCCTCTTCTGGAGTATGACATCTTAAATCATCTTCAGACAGGAGTAGCATTGATTTCTTCTGTTCTGCATACTTACAAACCCAACACTTATGTCGCTAATATCTTTTTGACTTCTGTTGTTCTTGCTGGTTGGTACTTGTGTTTTGTGGTTTCCTTCTTTCTTGCAGGTTAGAAGGTCTATGAAGGTATATTAAGGACCAACATGTCCAATGAGTTTTCTCTCGGAAATCCACCTACTTCTGACTTTCCAGGCCACTGCTTCCTGAGGCCAGCCCCTGGTCTTAGTCCAGCCTCCATAATGGCGTCTCTACATTCCCAGTTGCTTCCGTCAGTTTATTTTCTACAGAGCTGTTGTGCTCGTCTGTATAAATTCTGCTCAACACTGTAGCCTGCTTAAAATTTTCCAGTGACTTCTCATTTACCTGAGAATTAAAAGCTAGAGTCCTAACATAGTTTTCAAGTTGCTCTATCTTCTCAGTTCCTCTTGGGTGAGTTTGTTGTTTCTAGACCCACTCGGGCAGACGTGCCCGCCCTTGCTCCAGGCACAGGTGCTCTCCTGTTTCACCGTGGGGCCATCTTCTTCCTCCCCCCTAACTTTTCAAACATGATGTTACTTCTTTTGCATAGATGATTCCCTTTTGCGAACTCTCCTCTTCCCTCAGGCATCATTCACACTTTACACTAGATGACATTTACATTGAGAAGCCTTCTCTTTCTGTAAGATGCTTTTTCCCACAGGGTCGCATAGCATTTACTGCATTTTGTTAAGTGTCTGGTCTTACGCAGATGGTAAGCATTGGGAGGATAGGTACTATTTAATATTTTCCATACCCAGCAGGCACAATTTCTCACACATGGTAGGCAATCAGTAAATACTTAACTTTTGAGGTTAGGACATTTGAGTGCGTAGATGACTGTGGTTCTATTATTGCCTTATAATGAAGACATTACGCTTAAAGTACGAAAAAGCCTTATTCAGTACATTTCATGCTTACAAATAATATTGGTTGGGTTGTGCTTATGGAGAAAATTGATTACCAGAGTCACTTAAAATCAAGTATAATTATTTCCTTTATTTAGTTACAGCCAAGTTCTGCTTCTGAATCTATGGATCAACTGCTAACCAAAAATAGAGAGGGAGAAAAATCAAGAGACTTGATCAAAGACAAAATTGAACCAAATGCTAAGGATTCTTTCATTGAAAATAGCAGCAGCAACTGCACCAGTGGCAGCAGCAAGCCAAACAGCCCCAGCATTTCCCCCTCAATCCTCAGTAACACGGAGCACAAGAGGGGACCTGAGGTCACATCCCAAGGGGTTCAGACTTCCAGTCCAGGATGTAAACAAGAGAAAGATGATAAAGAGGAGAAGAAAGACGCAGCTGAGTGAGTAAACCTGGCATTTAGCATGTCCTTTTACTTACTTAACTTTTTCTTAAGGTGTCCAGGGCCTTCTGACTCAAGAATTTATCTGGACTTTTAGAATGTTTCATAAGTAACTTTAAGATTATAAACAAATTGTCTAAACAAATGACATTTTAAGTAAATAGGTCTTTGTACCCTGAAGTCTTCTTCCCTTCTCCCCCATTTTTGTACCCAATGGCAAAACAAAACAAAATAGAAAAACACCTTAGGTATAAATTAAGAAAGGCGTTTTCTGTAGATGTACAGGGCGTTGAAAACTTAATGGCTTTTGGGACCTACATCCCATGGGTGCTAGTCAGTATCTACCTCCTGGCTCTGTTGCTGGGAGTAAGACCTGCCATAGCCCGCCTGGGAGAAAAGTGTCTGGTGTCCCTACTTGAACTCAGCAGTTTCCATCAGAAACAGTGTTGTACTTAATGGTTAGATTGTTGAGATAGACCTAATTTTGTGTATCTGATATATGCAGGGGCAGGGGGAGACCAAAAAAACCCTGGAATTACCCTCTAGAGGGTGGACCCCTTGTAGTACAGGCTTCCCTTGCTAGGTGAGTGTTTAAGGAACCCACCGTATCAGTGTACCAGCTGGCGTCATTGTGAGAGGCTACGTTCTGCCTCAGTGGCCTCTTTTTTTTTTGGAAGATTCTTTCAACACTTTGCCCATTTCATGACAGGTGATTTATGAGCACACCTGCCCACACCACGCTGAGTATTCAGCAGTTTTTGACCAAAAATGGCAAGACCTCCATATCCCACCCTCCCAAGCCACCTGATCTCGCCCTGAGCGAGTGTTTTTGGTTTGCCTCATGAAAAAAGTCCTCAAAGGGAAACATTTCGCTGATATGGAAGAGGTGAAACCATAAAAAAAAAAAAAAGGCAGAATCACTAAAAGGCATCAAAATCAACAAGTTCAAAACTATTTTGAGCCCTGGCTGGTGTGGCTCACTGGATTGAGTGCCGGCCTGTGAACCAAAGGTTGCTGGTTCGATTTCTGGTCAGGGCACATGCCCGGGTTTGGGGCCAGATCCCTGGTTGAGGGGGTGTGATAGGCAACCAGTTGAGGTTTCTCTTGCACATTGATGTTTCTCTCCCTCTCTTTCTCCCTCCCTTCCCCCTCTCTAAAGATAAATAAAATCTTTAAAAAAAAAAAACACTTGAAAAAAACAGTGGAAAAAATGTCTCAGTAGGTATATTGCATCAAACGGAGTACTTTGAAGGTAACTGAAGTTTAAACATGTGAGAATAAATACACAATTTTTTTATAAATATATTCCAGGTGTTTTGGGTCCCCCTCATACGGGGATGGGCAAAAGGAGGTTAAATTACCAGCTATCATTACCTTAAAAGAGAAATCATAAGTAAGGATATGAAATAATAAAAAGACAAATAATAAATAATAATTGAAGAATAAACTCGTGTACTCACAGCTCTAAACCTGCCTTTGCCTACCCCTGTATTATCAGTTAAATGGACTTCTTTGGGCTAACCTCAGAACCTAACTTAAACACCATTTGTTCTGGGTCCCCTACAATCTAGTTTCAGCTGAACTTTTGGAATACAGCTCGTTGAGAAGTTGGGGGCGGCTTATTCTTGATTTGAAGCAAAAGAAAAAAAAAACTTTATTATACTTTTTTCCAAGGTATGTCATGCAGGAAACACTTTGTCACATTAAAAAATAGTGCATACTAAAGGATTGGTATATTAAGGATTGCATTTCAGGGCATTTTATAAGGGGCTACTACTGTCTTCTCAAAGTGTCTGTTGATTGCCTTAGAAACGTTATATATTATTCTGTATTAAAAAAATTTGTCCTTTTTTGGTCAGTCCTGATCAGATTAAAGGGGGGGCGGTATGTGTGTGTGTGTGTGTTAATGAAATGGATTAATGATCTTCTACTAAGAATTGTTTAAAGGTAATGTATGTTTAGCAATTTTTTAAAAAATACTGTCAGGTAAAGAAGACTTTAGAGACACTTAAATTCCATGCAGATTTCACTGATCCTTATATTTTTGTTCTGATTTAGGCAAGTGAGGAAATCAACATTGAACCCCAATGCAAAGGAGTTCAACCCTCGTTCTTTTTCTCAGGTAAATTTATTTCCTCTTTGAAGTAATCTAGCCACTAAAAAAATAAATTTATCACTAGTAGTAATACTTCTTTTTTCATACCTGACGTCTAAGTTCAGTTGAAGTGTGCTAAAACAGCTTCGAAGCGCCCTTTCCTTAGGGTGTCCTGTGGTCACTAATGAGCATTTTCGAGGTGTTGTCATCAATTAAATGCTGCCTGGGGCAAATATTTCTGTCTTTTTGACTCAGACTTTGAAGACGCTAGGTAGACTCTCAGGTTCCTAGACATACTGTTGTTACCATTCTACTAAATTTGTTAGAAAATAGATTTATTTTTTTAATTGTTTAAAGCACTTTTTTGAGTTTCTTAAAAAGTCATCACTATTTTTAATAGTATTACTGATTGACAACATTTTAACTTTATACCAAAGTGTTTTTCCTTTTATTTGACACATGTGACGTTTATTTTCTATGAGATTTTTCATTAAAAGAGACAATTAAAAGCAAATAAAGCTAAGAAAGATGGAGAAAATTAGTCTTCAAGTTGCAATAATAGTTAGCTTTTCACCTTAAGATAGTTGATTTTTGTTTTTGTAGCCAAAGCCTTCTACCACCCCAACTTCGCCTCGCCCTCAAGCACAACCCAGCCCGTCTATGGTGGGCCATCAGCAGCCAACTCCAGTTTATACTCAGCCTGTTTGTTTTGCACCAAATATGATGTACCCAGTCCCAGTGAGCCCTGGCGTGCAAGTAAGTCACAGAATTTGATGGTCTTTGCTTGCCTAGGCTGTTTGTATTTGGCAGCGAGCATGCCGTAGGTGTGCAGTGACTCGAGGTGTGAAGGTGTGACAGGAGTGTCTGACAAGGGAAGGCATGAAGTTGTGTTAGTGTGGGGACCTAACCCCGAGAATTTTCTGGTGAGAAAGATGGTTTCTATTTACTGTAGTTTAGGGTTTGTCCTTCTAGCTGTGGATGGTGTAATTTTTTTAAAGACTAATAGAGAATCAGGAAAACCTCAGAGCTAGCTCTCTAGCAGTGGACAACTGAGGGGGTGATCAAAAGTGTTCTTATTATCCTGAGAGCCTAATCTTTTGTCTTTTTTTTTTTTTTTTTTTTACTCCCTCAAGCCTTTATACCCTATACCTATGACGCCCATGCCAGTGAATCAAGCCAAGACATATAGAGCAGGTAAAGGTGAGAATAATCCTGCCTGTGTTTGCTTGTAGTCTGCATGCTGCATGAATTAAGTAACTCAATTTATAATGAAGAAATACTTGTGGTTAAGCTTTCACTTTTGATGACCAACATATTATAGAGTATTCATATGCATTTTTTATAAATAAAACAAGAGGAGAGAAGTACTCATCAGTTGTGATAGTTTTTACATTTTCAGTGTTAAATTCGAAAAGAGAGTTTGCTAAATTAACTTACCAAGTTTCCTGACATTCTTATTTTATACTAACATATAATTTTCCCCCCAAATCCAGAATTTCTTTTAAAGCAGAGTGGCTCACTTCAGAAACCATCAAAATTCCACTAAAGGGGTGTTTTCTCATCTTAAAAAGAAAACATCTACAATATCATTATCAATATAATATCATTAGCACACCTTAAAAGAATTAATAATACAGTAGCTTCCTAATACAGTAATCCATCCCCCCCATCCAGTTTGGCTTTTTGCAGTTTCAGTCAGCTGGGGTCTAAAATGTTAAATTCCAGAAACAAACAATTCATAAGTTATAAATTGCACGCTCTTCTGAGTGGCACGATGAGATACTGCGCTGTCCCATTCTGTCCTGCCCAGAACACGAATCCTCTCTGTCCAGTGTGTCTGTGTTGTACACACTACACGCCCACCCACCTCGCTAGTCACTTAGTAGCCTCTTCTCAGTTATCAGATCTGTCATCATGGTATAGCAGTGCATGTGTTCAGGTCAGTCTTATTTTACCTAATAATTGCCCCAAAGTGCAAGAGTAGAGATATTGACAATTTGGATGCCAAAAAGGAGCCTTAAAGTGCTTTCTTTTCTTTTCTAATTTTTTAGAAATATTTATTGATTTTAGAGAGGAAGGGGGGTAGAGAGAGACATCAGTTTGTTGTTCCACTTATTTGTGCTTCATTGGTTGATACTTGTATGTGTCTTGACCGGGGATTGAACCCTCAACCTTGGCATATGGGGACAGTGCTGCAACCACTGAGCTGTTTGGCCAGGGCTAACGAGCTTTCTTTATGTGAAAAGGGTGAAAGTTCTCAACTTAATGAGGAAAGGGGAAAAAAATCATATGCTGAGGTTGCTAAGATCTACAGTAGGAACAAATCTGTCTCTGAAATTGTGAAGAAGGAAAAGAAGTTGGTGCAAGTTTTGCTATTGCACTACAGACTCCAGAAGTCATGGTCACAGTACATGATAAGGGCTTCATTAAGGTGGGAAAGGCCCTGAATTTGTGATTGGAAGATGTGAACAGGGAATGTGTTGCGGGTGACATGTTGCACCAGAAAGCATTGACTCTTTACAAAGACTTTAGCAAGGGAACCCCTGAAACAAGTGACACTAGGCCATTTACCTCATGTAAGGCATGATTAGACAGATCTGGAAATCGTTTTGGCATTTTATTACCTCATATCACCACAAGAAGAACAGGAAATATCGTGCAATAAGATATTTTGAGAGAAAGAGACCACATTTGTGTAACTTTTATTATAGTATACGTTTGACTCTGAACAGCACAGGGGTAGGGACGCTGACCCTTGTGCAGTTGAAAATTCACTTATAACTTGACTCCCCCAGAACCTCACTACTAATAGACAACTGTTGATTGGCAGCCTTACTGATAAACAACACAGCATAAATAGTCGATTAACACATATTCGGTATGTCACATGTATTATAATACTGTATTCTTACAGTGAAGTGAGCTAGAGAAAAGAAAATGTTAATTAAGAAAATCATAAGGAAGGGAAAATAAATTTACAATATTTATTGAAAAAAGATCCACTTATACATGGATCTGTGCAGGTCAAACCTGTATTGGTTAAGGGTCAACTGTATTGTTTTAATTGTTTTGTTGTATTATTGTTGTTGGTATGTTACTGTCCTTAGTTTCTAAATTAAACTTTATCATACTTAATGTACGTATAAGAAAAAACAGTTTATAGAGGATTCTGTACTATCCACGGTTTTAGGTATCCACTGAGGGTCTTGGAACGTATACCCTGCTAATGAGGGGGCTACTGTATTTCAGTGTGTATCTGTAAGAGTTGTACTCTTTTTAAAATCATAGTTAATGGTGCCATTATTCACACCTAAAAATATCAGCAACTATTTTTTGCTCATCAAATATCCAGAGTAGAAATTTGTCTTACTGTCTTGCACATTTTTTTGAATATTTGGCTTGTTGAGCCATAATCCAAAGTCCTTGTTCATTTGATTGACAGTACCTCACTCAATAAGTCTTTTTTAATTTACAGTTTTCCCCTGAGTTTTTGCCCTTAACATTTTATTTAAATCCAGCTTATTTTGTCCTATGTTCTTCTCCATCATCTGAATTCTGTGGATTGTGTCCTGTGGTGTTTAAAGTGACCCTCTGTTCCCTTACAAACAGATGTTAGATACAAGGGGCTTGGTAAGACTAGGTTGTATTTTTCTAAAACTTAATCTGAACTGTTTCATAGATAATGTGTATATTTTCACTAAGACTCCTATAATGTCTGGTCATCTCTTTTTTGTGATAGTGGGAGTAACTCGACCAAACATTCCCTACCAGCTCTGCCGTGTTAGTTTTAGCAGCAATTGGTCTTTGTCTAGCCCTAGAGCAGTTATTTCAGTGAGTTGCACATGATGACAACCTCTGTCGTCCTTCCTCAACTATTAGCTGGAGTATTTCTATAAAGGAAAACCTCTCTACTTAGTTACCGTGAAGTATAGTTTGTGCAGGAAAGACAACTAAAATGCCTGTCATTTATAAGCAGTACTCAAAATAATGAGTTGGTTTCTTATTCTCTAAAAAGGGTCAACCATTGAGGGGTTTTTTTGTTCTGTCAATATGGGTTCATGGATTTTAACATTCAGTTTGACAATTGGCATTTTTCTTAGCATCACATTAAATTTTTATGAATTAGGGGAGAATTGCTATCTTTAAAATTGAGTCTTCTTACCCAAGAACAAATTACGCTTTCCTCCTCGTTTAAATCTGCTCTGTACCTTCAGTAATGGTTTTGAGTTTCTCTGAAAGGTTTGTGTGTTTCTTCAGTTTATGCCTTAGGTATTTTCTCATTTTATTGTTAATGTAAAGTGGGGTCATCTTTTCCATTGCACCTATCCAGTAGTTATTTACAAAGTACGTTCATGAAGTACTGTATATAAAGGTTATTGCTGTCTTTATGTTAATTTTGTATTCTGCCTCTGTACTCTGAAATAACAGGCAAAATCAAGGATTTGCTTCTGAAATGCAGCCATGGATTGTATGAGGCATATTTTGCCTCCTCGATTGTAGGGTCTTTGCACAAAACCACCTTTGTCTTCTTGGTACATAATGCAGTGTTATCTTTTTTGCAACCTTTGAGAAAAATTGAGTTGTGTTTGAAAATATGCCAAAATCAAGGACTTGTCAAAGCAGAATTTCTTATCCTTGGCACTGTTGACATTTTGGGACAGATATTCTTTGTCCGGGGCAGGGGGGTGTTCCCTGTGCACTGTAGGATATTTATTAGCATCCTTGGCCTCTACCCATTAGATGCTAGTAGTAACCTCTCCATCCCCAATTGTGACAACCAGAAATGTCTCCAGACATTGCCAAATGCACTTTGAAAGGCAACATTTACTCCCAGTTGAAAACCATTGACATAAGGAAATAGCTGAAGTATGGTTCATTTAAACTATAGTTTAAGTAAAGATTAAAATAGATTCAATTTAGGAAAAAAAACACACCACCATAAAACCACATAACTCTCTGTATATATACATGCACATATGCAAATGCATAGAAGATGGTCTAGAAGGCCACATACAGAGGTTGCTGTTGGAAGAGAATATTATGCAGATGTTGGAAGGATAATCTTATAATGTTGAACTTTTTATCTTTTTTTTTTTTAAGATTTTATTTATTTTTAGAGAGTGAGAAGGGAGAGAGAGACACATCCATCAGTTGCCTCTTGCATGCCCCCAATCAGGGACCTGGCCTGTGACCCAGGGTTGCGCCCTGACTGGCAGGTGAACCGGCAACCTTCCAGTGTGCAGGACTGACACCCAGTACCCCAAGCCACACCATTCAGAGCGGAACTTTTATCGTTTAAGATTGTATTCAAGCATTTTTTTTTTTTTTTTAACTAGAACTTTTAATTTTAAAAAGGCTGGCGCGGCTCAGTGGATTGAGTGCTGGCCTGCAAATCAGTGTCGCCGACTCAGTTCCCAGTCAGGGGCACAGGCCTGGGTGGAAGGCCAGGTCTCCAGGAGTGGGCTCACAAGAGGCAACCTTAGCTCTTCTAGGAGGAACTGGGAAGAACATTATAGAGAAAATGACATTTGATCAAAAATCATAATTGGAACTTGAACGGGGGGAGGCCATAGCACATTTTTGTGTGGACACAAAGTAATTTTTTAAAAGAGCTATTTGGACACCTGCTGCATGGTAATTGTGTGTGATTCTGTATTTGAGAAAGAGGAAGACGTGGTTGGAGAGTTCAGTGGTAGGAAATGAAGAAAGATGGAGTTAAGGTTGAAGTTGGGTCTCTTTTTTTTTGTTGTGCATTTGTTTTTCTTTGAATAAATTCAGTGCCCTTCTTTAGCAAGTGGCATGATTTGGTGGTGTAAAACAGGGATTATCTGAGAAGTAAGTAGTCTGAAGGAAACATTTCATCCAGTTTGGCAGTCATCATAGAGGGTCTCTAAGGAAGTGGCTTTCAAAATGGCACCTGAAGGAAGAGTCAGAATTATCAAAGCTGGGAATTGGGGCATTGGTGTTGGAGGCTGAGGAATAGCATGTGTGATAGGAAAACAACCCAGAGTGGCTGAAGTGGTGGGGGTGGTGTGACATGGCCTTGAAGAGGCAAGCAGGAGGGTCGAATCCTGCAGAGCCTCGTGGACCATGTTCGTGTATCTCATACCATGGAGATGCAGTTTTCTTAGACTCAGTCATCTCTTTCTGCAGTACCAAATATGCCCCAGCAGCGGCAGGACCAGCATCATCAGAGCACCATGATGCACCCGGCCTCGGCAGCAGGCCCTCCCATTGTGGCCACCCCACCAGCTTACTCCACACAATACGTTGCCTATAGTCCTCAGCAGTTTCCAAATCAGCCTCTTGTTCAGCACGTGCCACATTATCAGTCTCAGGTAAGGCTGATAGGACCTAGCTCATCATTGTTGCTTTGTTTAAATAACTTTTAATTTTTTTAAGTTTTTATTTATTTATTTTTATAGAGAGGGAGAAAGACAGGGAGAGAAACCAATATGAGAAACACTGATTGGTTGCTTCTTGTAAGCACCCTGACCTGACCAGGGACTGAACATGCAACCCCGTGCATGTGCCCTGACTGGGAATTGAACCAGGGACCTTTCGCTTTGTGGGACAGTGTTCAGCCAATAGAGCCATACTGGTCAGGGCTAAATAGCTTTTAATTTGAGATTTTAATAGGATTTTTTTCCCCTTATATCTGTGCTTTTTTATTCTGTGGTTGATCGCTAAGGATTGGGAGGTGGTTGTTGATTATTTTAAGTATTTCAAAAGAAATAGTCAAAATAAGTTTTAGACATTTTTAGAGTTGTTTGTGGAAATCTGGACAGTGTGGAGTTAAGATATCTAATTAAAATCTGCACGATTGAGTCTGTTTGATAATTGAATGTTTGTTTTTTCTCTGAACACAGCACCCGCACGTCTATAGCCCCGTAATACAGGGCAGCGCTAGAATGATGGCACCAGCGGCACACGCCCAGCCTGGTTTAGTGTCCTCGTCAGCGGCTCAGTACGGGGCTCACGAGCAGACGCATGCGATGTACGGTAGGAAGCACTCTGTTGTCTTTTTTAGCGTGTGACTGACTCTTAATTTGTTTTAAAGCTCTGAGAAGTTACTCTTTTTAATAATGACTTGGCCTTTTATGACATGAAGGGTAAAGATACTAAAGAAAAGATAGACCCATTTCTCTCTCTTACCTGCTTTTTGAAGTCTTGGCCAATAATTTCTGCTTCCATTCTGAAAGACCTCTGCTAAACTGTCTCTCCTTTAAGTAAATGTAATGATGTGTGTGACAGGAAGCATGCTTTGTGGAGAAAGGTATCTTTTCTCCTCTTCCTCATTAGTGTTATAATTGGGTGTGCCCTGTGCAAGGCATGCAAGAAAGCTTTGCCATAATGAAAGCGCTCTCTAGCATTTTTCACCTCTTGCTCTGGGCTTACCAGCATTACATATTTCTATTGCTATTTTTTTTATAATGTTACTATGTTTCTGCATCATGTTGTATTTTAGGTGGTAAAAATTGTGTAATACTAGATTTGCTTTAGACATTTACACTTTAAATACAAATAGTGGTAAAATTAAAATGAGAAATATTGTATATAAAATTAATTAATACTAAGCAAAAATTACCATCTTAATATTATGGCCAGAGAACTTTGTACAGGTCATTTTAGCAGCTATCTGAAGTTCTAAAATGATACGGTTTTCAATGTTGAGAATTTAAAACAATTCCATTTATACCTTGTGTAATATAGAATTAATGGGTTTTCTCATATTTATGTTTTTAAAATGCACCTTTAGTACCAGTTTTATTAAGATGTAGGTTTTGTTTTGAACTTTCCCGGGAACTCCTGTACTGTCATTTCGGTTTTGGCATTTCAGTTTTTTGGAGTGGGAGGGGAGAGATTTGAGGAGAAAAACCATGTGAGAATGAAATCACAGTTAGGTATAACCACCTGGACATTTCATTTTTTAAACCTCCTTAATCTTTCTGGATGACTGAGAATGTAAAGATTTTTTAACTTTAGGTAACAATTTCTAACATTGATGAGGGAATGGGAATGGGACTCAGCAGCAACAGCCGCCCTTCCTGCCACCCGTAGCCCAGCACCTGCTCTTTCCTGGACGCAGGCCCCTGCCTCACAGGCGGGCTGACTTTAAAGAGTGTTTAAGTCTGATTTTTGTTTTCTACATTATCACTTAAAACTTTCTATTGCGGATTATGCCTTTAAATAAAAATGCTGTAATTACTACATTTCTTTCAAGAATATAGTCCTGCTCTGGCTGGGGTGGCTCAGTGGATTGAGTGCTGGCCTGCGAACCAAAACGTCACAGGTTCGATTCCCAGTCAGGGCACAGGCCTCCGGTTGAGGGTGTGCGAGAGGCAACCAATCAATGTATCTCTTGCACATCAACGTTTCTCTCCCTCTCTTTCTCCCTCCCTTCCCATCTCTCTAAAATAAATAAATAAAATCTTTAAAAAAAAAAAAAAAGACTATAGTCCTGGCCAGGAGCTCAGTGTTAGAGCATTGTCGTGATACCCCAAGGTTACAGTTCGATCCCCAGTCAGGGCACATACAAAAATCGACCAATGAATACAGGAATAAGTGGGCCAACAAATCTCTCTTACTCTCTTTCCCTAAAAATCAAGAAATTTAAATAAAAACAATATATTGACAGACTGATTTGACTTAGGATTTTGGTTATGATCTCCTGTCATTGGCTTGTCCTTGGCTGACTTCACCAGAACTAGTCGTATGTATGAAAGGCACCATGATTCCTCACACTGACTTTTATGCAGTTTGTATACGTTTCAACAATTTTTTAGTTTGCTAAAGACTTAGGTGAAGAGTTCATAATGATTGTTTTATATTTCTGGTGAATACATCATGATTTAACATGTGGAAAAACAATTATGTCTTTCCATTTTCTGGCATACTCCTCTTGGAATAAGATCTGATACTTCTGAGCTAAAATTTCCATGGCTTTTTGAGAATAACTGTGCACCCATGATTTCGATACTTTGTGGTGATACTGTGATGTTGAGCAGGACCTTTATCCTCAATGCCAACATCTCGCTTTGTCTTTTGGGTGGATGTTCACCGGTTTGAAACAGCCCCATCGGGTTGAAACAGACTGTACAATAAACACTGCTTTTGAGGCACTAGTGGTTTTTATTACTACCTTCCCAGAACATTTTCATTTGAAAAGCACTTGACCTTGGACCCTGAAGTCGATTCAAGAATGGGTAAATAGGAAATGTTGCAAACAAAGCGAAACGCTGGACCTAATGTGCTGGCCATCAGAGCCAGTTCTTTGATGCCAGGAGAAAGTCCCTCAGCTGAATGTGAACTACTCTCCTGCCATTTACACAGGTTGTATTTCACTGATGTCTGTTGATGAGGGCTGGCTAGGGGCGAGGCTGTGGATTTTGTATGATTGTTGCTGATTACTTGAGGTTATTTTGGATACTTCATACCTTAAAAAGAACACTAGGGAGTTATTTTGTTCTTTGCTGTCATGAACAGTAATTTAATCTGCTAAAGGAAGTTCATTAATTCTTCAGTAATTTAGCTATTCTAAATCCTGCTTATGTCAAATATAGACAAATTTTAAGTACAGTATTTTAAACTAAGATAAAACTGTTGCATAGAAATGCTCATTGTATACTCATCTCCCTTGAACAATTTATATTTTGTATTCTGAAAGGAACCAAATATTTTGAGTATGATTTTTTTCTTTTTTAAGCTATATCCTATCTATAGATTTTAAAAACTTTTTATGTAAACAAAGGAATATGCACCCAGATGTTGGTGACAATTATGTCACCATTTTGTCATTCGTTAACTGAGGGGTCATAGGTCATAGCAAAGGCTTTTGAGAATAGAAAGGACCACTCCTGACTGCAAAATGAGACACTGATACTGTTTTTAAGTTTTTGGTATATTTAATATAAATATCCTAACAGATTAACGAACAGTTTATTAGGAGAGATATATACTCATTCTAATAGCTATCTTAAAAAGGACTTTGATCACAGGCTTCATCTCTTGTATCTTAATCTAACTTTCATCATTGCCTCTGTACCCTCCCTCTGAAGAAGTTACTTTATTTCCCCCCTTACCGCCTAGTTGTCTAATTCATCTGCTTTGTTTTATGGCAGTGGTGTTTTCTCCTTTCAGATATAGTAATAATGGGATTTGCATAAAGCCATCAGGAAGAATTAGATCTAAAATCCTTTTTTTTTGGTTTGTTTTTGGTAGTCTAATGCAGATAAATTAGAAAAGAAGTAGGCAAAAGGTTTAAAATGGCACCTATTATCCCTCCATCCAACAACATCTGTTAACATTTTGGTGCATATCCTTCCAAGTATATGTAAACACACATATACACACACCCCTTTAGTCATAATAATAAAAATGAATCATACGCATGTTTAATATTGTTGTTATTACATTTCTCAATTTTTGGATCTACTACCAGATGGCTAATAAACATCTTACAGAATAATGAAATTTTATTAATAGTGATGTGCAAAATTGTCTTTTGAATTAAACTTGGTAAATATTGTCTTATTTTGGTGCATTTTTTACATCAAAGCTAATCAGTGGAGTGCGGTGTTGCTCTGTTTATTAGATGATAATTTTATTCCTTTCGTTTAAGCAAGTCCGCCTGCAGAGCTTGATACCCCAGTACAGAAGAAAACTGTCTTTTCGTTCAGCCCTGTCTTACTTAGTTTTGTAGCAATGTTTAAAGTGCTTGTCATCTCTTGTAAAATAAGAATAATGAATTATGCATGAATACAAAAAGAAATTACTGAATATGTCAACCTTTCCAGAAAATTAGCTAAATGCAGACCTCAAAAGGCTAATTCACCTTTCTATTTCCCAAATTCAGCATGCCCCAAATTACCATACAGCAAGGAGACAAGCCCTTCTTTCTACTTTGCCAGTGAGTTGGGTTTTTTTATACTAATTTTAATTGAACAGTAAAACACTTTTTAAAGAATACATGTTAAGGGAGTAGACTTGTTGAGCAGTATTTTCCTTGTGCCAGACAAAATTATTAAAAATATATCTATCTGTAAATAATTCAGAGTTTTAAAAAAAGGAAATATAACCCAGCTTAAGAAAGCTGGAGTTTAAAAATTGAGTTGTTTCAGAAATTGATTTTTGCATACCAAGCAAACATGTGACTTTTGGAACTGCCTGATATTTTCCTTATATGAGAAGCTTTTCCTAAATAGCCTTTTTTTTTTTTTTTTTTAACCAAGCCACAAACTTAGTATAAAAAAACTTTAAAAAGTTAGTTTTTTTAGTATCCTGGTAAGAAATTTATTCTTACTAGGATTTTGAACCTGAATGGGGTTGGAAAACTAGGGGAGAAACATTTCTGTCTTTTTACTCTTTGCATGACCAAAGGTTTAAAATATTTGGGTTAAAGCAGGAAAGCGTGACCCAGCAGAGATTATCTTTGGCAACACCGGCCCCCTCTCACCGCCAGTGGAAAGGTAAACGGTTGCTCCTAAAGGGAGAAAGTCTGGACAGAACTTTCTGTTGGAAATGAACTTGTAATGTGTGTTTTCTCTATTTGTAAGTCAGTTCTTAAATAAAGCTAGTCATGGACTTTTGGTATTAGAATAGGAACGGTACTAACTTGCAGAAATTCTTTAAAAATTTATGCCAATGATATGTCACTTTAGGTGAAATACTATAGTCTCAGGGATATTAAGGATTAAAATTTTACTTTAGAGACTAAATTTTAAATTATTTTTGAATGACTCAATGTCTGAATCCACTAAATGCCAGATTTTAAAAAGCATTTAGAAAACATTTTGACTTAAATTTTCATTAATTATGCCATGACTTGGTATCCAAAAATAAGTGTATCAATATTATTTATGTGGTGCTAGGAAATGTAAACAAATTTTATCCTTTAATAGATACTCTTTAAAAAGGAGTCTTGCTGTATATAAATACTATTAAAGGGAAACTATGCATGTGATACAGTGTGTAAAAGACAGTGTCAGCCATTCATTTTTGTGCACTGATCGGAGGTCTCAGATGCAGTCACCCTCACCATCTTACTGTCTCTGCCAGCTCTGCAGTGGCTCCCCGGCAGGCAGGCAGCCGGCAGGCCCTTCCTGCTCGCGCCGGCATCACCACCCCCCTCCGTGCGGCCCCTGCCGCGGGGCCGGGCCTCTGCGCCCTCCCAGGGTCACTGGCAGCTGGGCTGCTGCCCGGGATTCACTTGCTGCTCCACCTTCCCTCCCCTTTCTAAGCTGTTCTGCCATGGTTTGGTCTGGTTGCCTTTTACTCTCCTTTTGATTAGTTTTCAACTGTTGTCCACTTCGTTTTTTCTAAATTTAACATCAAATTTAAAAGTTGGAAGATTGTGTTTTGCTTTGTTGCATTTTTAAAGCTTTGCAGTGCTGGTGATCCCTCATGACTTGTGCATCCAAGGTCAAAATAAAAAACCTACTTACAAATTAAAACACACAGCCTTACGGACTGAATTGGCTTCAGTAAGATCATGGCTTAGGAAACTATTTTTGGAATGTGGTTAGGAGGACTTGAAAAATCATGTATTTAGAGTTTTAAACATTTATATCAAGGAACACAGCAAGTAGGAAACTTCTGGACAAGGTCTGGCCCAAAAAAGCAATACTTCTTTGATTTGCTTGACCTAATCCAGGTTTCATGAAGGCAAATTAAGTTTTATAAATAGAAGTTTAACTGATGAATAGCTATATTAGACTTTTGAAGAAAATTCAATTTATCGTTTACCTGTCTGAAGTCTTTAGCTAAATTAATGAGTGTATGTAATAAAAGTGGTTAAATGATAGTGAAGATCAGCACTTAACTGCCCTTTGCTCTCTGCTTCTTATTCCCTGATTCTCTTACTTTCACCTTGTTTACTCTATATTGGCTCCTTTCTCTCATCTCTTTTCTTTCCTTCCAACTCCCCCTACCCCCAGCCTTTTAATTTTCCTTCCGTCCCGCCTTTTTTTGTCACATTCTTCTGGCCTTTCAAGGAACAAAACTCTTATTTTGCTGCTATTAGTATTGACTTAATCAGCCAGCCATTCAGTTTTCATATTTGAGGAGGAAAAGGGGTTGGTTCCTGGACAGTGTACTTGCTTTATGTCTCTTAAGCAAGAAGATGAACAAAGGAAAATATTTCTAATTAAGCTACCTGAAATTTTATTTGCCACTTAAGAAGTATATATTACATCTGCTTGATTTTTCTTAGAATACATTGTAATGTACTGGTGTTTAGGGTAGAAGAAGGCGGGGTTTTCTTAAAGGCCTATGTGGATGCGCTCAGCTTGGAATACTTGAAGTACAGTACTACGGATGCAAATGAGACACAGATTAGATTACTGTATTTTATAGGCTTTAAATATTGGTAAACTTTCACAGAGATGCTCTTTAAAAATTCATAGTAAAAAATATTTCCTCTTTAATTTCAAATAATTTCAAGATTTTTAACATTTTTCTTAATTGATGAGTAACAATTATGAGACTTCATGGGCACAATTACTGTCGTCGTAAGACCATGTTTTTATGTGTGAAAGTTAACCCAGCACCCAGCTAGAGTTTATTTTTATTTATTGTTACTTATTTTCTTAATACTTTGGTTATACGATAATTAAAAGTGAAATTTAAACTTATTAGTACAGAAGTTTTTTTGAACAAATGAAGTTTTAAAAAATAGAAACCCTGAGATATTCCCTACTCTATGAAACATGATAAATAAATTTTGGGACTCAATCATTGCTTCTCCCCAGACATATGCAGTGTCGCTACAAATGACAGGTTCAGGAGGCCCCGAGGCAGGCAGGACTGCAGTCCTGACGGTGTGAGCCCGGAGCGCGGGCGACGCCACACTGCCTGTCCGCCGAGCTTTCTGTGGCGGGGGAATTGTGCTGTCTGATCAGCCACTAGCTGCATGTGGCTGGCTGCTTTAATTACTTAAAATTAAATTTGAAAAATAAGTGTCAGATTTTTACATGAACAAAGATTCAAAATTTATGTCAAATCTGTTAGACTAAGTCATTGCCTAGACAGTTTGGGGGACCTGAAAGTTTATGAACATGATGGTGAAGGATGGGCTTTTAATAAACCAGAGCAGTAGAAGTCTCTGACTGCTTTCATAGACTCGTGGAGCTTTCATAAGCAGTTGTTAGCACATGATTTTTCCGAGCTCCCAGAAAACAGTCACTGACTCTTCTTAAAAACACCCAGAGAAATATATTATTGTATACCAACTATACTGAAATTTCTCAAAGTAAACATTTTTTGAAAGGGGAGAAAACCACTCAGAGACTAGGTTGCCATGGTTTTCTTGTTGATGTGTTCCAGTGTGTGTTAACTCGTACAAGTCAGGGAGATTTTCCAGCATATAAACGCAGGCTTTCTTTGTTTAATCTAATCTGGGTATTAACACCCGCTCTGGTGTTGGCTGTGGATGCACAGGTGATCCTAGCACTGGCTCTTTGCCTTATCCTTCCCTCTTTTAAAAGACACTTAAGCAGCTGAGGAGATAATCAGTGGTGCATGAGTGGTGGTGGCCCTTGGCCTTCCAGCGTCAGGCACTGCAGAACAGGGACATGGGACGTACCCAAAGTGAGTCATTCTGCTGATCCTCAGCAGCCTTGCCTTCCAGACTGCTGAAACTGGGGCATCTGATCCCAGAGTGGTGCTTGCTTCTCCCCGTCGGCCTCTCTGTGTCTGTATAGGGTTGGGCTCAGCCTTTTGAGGATTTTAGCAGTAATTGGAGAGAAGGCTGAAAGCCACCGGTTGCTGGGGCACTGGCCTCGGCTCACCGCCCCCTTGTGGTTGGTTTAGTTCCAGCCAGTGTGCTCCTGACAGTCACTGGGAGCAGTGAGCCCGCCCGTCTTCTGATTCTGTGCTTTTGACTCTGAAATTGCTCTTTTGGGAAAACATGAATAAGTGCATTTATACCTAATCTCCCTGTTTTATACCAAGGTATATAGTCCATACTGAGATTCACGAAGAATTGGCTTTGGGTTCTTATCTTTAATGAACATGTTTTTACTTAAACTGGCTTATCATGTTTCCTGGAAGTTACTCTGACTAGTAAAATTCTTTCTAAAGGCTGAGATGCTTTGGAGAGAGTTCCCTTTTCTACCTAGTTTAGATAATTCCATCCACTAGATTTTATAAAGGTGAGAGATCCTTGAACAGGGAGAGAGCTCAGGTGATTTCTGTGATCAGCTGAGAATAACTGTGGCCACTGACCCTGAAGATAGCACCTTGATACTGCCACCTACCTGGTCCAGCCCCTTATCCCCAGCCCTGGTGTAGTCTGTGCCCATGGGACACTGCGCCAGCTCCAGGGCAGTAGCATGGTGAGGCGAGAGAGAGAGAGAGAGAGAGTGTGTGAGAGAGAGAAGGGGTGGGGGGAGAGATTGTTTGAAGTGCTCATGCCTATGTTACCCTTTCAGGAAAACCTAGTTATTGTTTTAGGAGTAAATTTAAACTAATTAGATTTTAATGCAAAGTATACAGCTGTATTATATGAATAAATGCTAGTTAATTGTTAAGCAATAACATTACTTATTTTTTTTATGAAAATTGATGGTTTGAATGGAGTAGATAGAGACTAGTACGAGTGTAAGTTAGGCCATGAGTTTCAAGAAAACTCAGTTGACGAGGCATAGAGGAGCAATTAAAATTGATCATCACGTGTCAATTGTACACACTGCTTTTTCTCTTTCACTCAGTTTCCACTGGCTCCCTTGCTCAGCAGTATGCGCACCCTAATGCCACCCTGCACCCACATACTCCACATCCTCAGCCTTCAGCCACCCCCACCGGCCAGCAGCAAAGCCAACATGGCGGAAGCCACCCAGCCCCCAGTCCTGTTCAGGTAAGGAGAAGCTCAGAGGCCTATGGGCATTGCTTCCTCTTCTCGTCACTGCATGTTTCCTTCAGTGCCAGGCAGAGGCTGTGCACCACGTGGTCAGAACACCTCACGCCCCGCCTCCTGGGCCACCACTCTGCTCTGCAGCCTGTGCACCCCAGGCTGGTTTTAAGTCGCAGGAAGGTACATACTAAGACGATTGGATAAGTTCTGGAAACATCGGTTTTGAAAAGTCTAATTTAACATAGGGTGAGAAATTTGCTTGGGACTTTTTTTTATTTCCTAGTATTTATATGATAAGTATTTTTCCTAGTAGATTCTTTAGTCACGGTCACGGAGGCGGTTAAGGACCGCCGACATCTGTCGGTTCCCTGGGGCAGTGGCCTTGCTTTACAACTCTGCTTGGTTGAGGGCTTGTAACTGCCAGGCTGAGAATGGGGCTTGTACCCCAGGTAGGAGGTCTCTGAGCAGGTCCCACCCTGCTGCGGCCACCCTGTCCCTACCCCTGTGCGGCCATCGCCCCTCCTCTTAGATGGGCCCAGGGGAGCCTGTGTCCATGTGCAAAGCTCAGCTTGGTGTGTGTGACCCGTAACTGCTTCTCATTAAAGAAATGGTTTTCTTAATTCTTCCCTGTCACTTTGCAGCCCCATCAGCACCAAGCCGCGCAGGCGCTCCATCTGGCCAGTCCACAGCAGCAGTCAGCCATTTACCACGCCGGGCTTGCGCCAACCCCACCTTCCATGACACCTGCCTCCAACACGCAGTCGCCACAGAGTAGTTTCCCAGCAGCACAACAGACCGTCTTTACAATCCACCCTTCTCATGTGCAGCCGGCATACACCAACCCACCCCACATGGCCCACGTGCCTCAGGTAAATCAGCTTTAGGCGACTCTGTAAAAACCACGTAGGATACGAAGGTTGTCAGAGAAGCAGCAAAGAGCCAGATGCTCTCCAGGCTAGGAAACCCTGTGTGTGATTTGCCTGTCTCCCTTTTCCCACTCAAATACATGTGATCTGGCCCTACATGGATGTTTGTGTGGTTTTGTAACGGGATCAGTGAAGTTGCTGAATGGGCAGTCCTCTCACGTTTCCCGGCTGAGACTGTATAAATATCTTTGACTTTGAAATGCAACCCAGTCCTCTTTTCCTTCCTGTGTCTGCTTTGCTATGTTTAAATAGCTTCATTGATATGTATATATATGTATGTGTGTGTGTGTATATATATATGTATATGTATATATATGAGATATGCATGTGTGTGTGTGTGAACGTACATATAATCTATCTCACACATGCATGCACACATACATACATGCACACACACAGGAAGTGTGGCAGGGAGGGTGGACCTTAACAGATTTTTAACTCTGACTGCCCTGGGCCTGTCAGCTTGAATGTTAGTCACATGAATTCCAGAGGAATCTCTCCTCTCGTTTTCTCTAGTTTTCCATACATCTGCTTTGACCACATTGTACTTCTTGAAAAGGCTTGGCCTTGTACACGGGAGCAGTGTAACTAGAAGCTGAAAGCACTCAGGTTTTCACATTTTTCTCAATGAGCAGCACTGGATGCACTTTGGAGCTCACCCCCAGTCTCAGCCTCTGCAGGGAGAAAGGTGTGGTGGCCCTCTCAGTGGCTGCTGTCTGCATCGATGCCGATGCAAATCCGGTGCAACCCAGGGCCAGGTTGGCTTGTCGTACTGAGGAGGAGGAGCTGCACTGCATTGGGCTCTAACCTTGTCCTTGAGGCCCGCCCTGGAGGTGTGAAGGGTGAATCGGCTGTATTCGATGTCTCTTTTTGCTGCTTTCATAACAACACGTAGGTGGGTCTAAGCTAGACTGCCTCACTGAACTCCATGTCATGTGACACAGTATGCCACTGAGGCCCTGGCGTGGTGGGGGCTGGAGGTGCGACTCAGTTGGAGCTAACTCTCAGGCGACCTTGTCATGGGAGCCCCGCAGCCCCAGGAAGTCTCTGTAGCGTGGCGCACCGCAGCGGGTGACTGCCTTGGACGGTGGGGAGGGGCGCTGGCTTGGTCAGGTGTGGGCCGCCCGGCCGGCTGTCTCGGGAGCTTCGTGAGAGTGGGGGTCCTGTAGGTGTCTAGCAGTGGCTGGTGGCTAAGTAGGTATGTGAATTTACATATAGGTTGGGGTTCCTAAAACCTCACTTCTGTGTTTTTGTGCTGAAAGAGCAAAATGGATCAACATGGGAAAGCCCAGATATGCCCTGGGCCCATCTGAATATGTAAGATAATAAAAAACAGCATTTCATTTGAGGCTTACCATTGTTTGGAATTGTGCTTGGCATGGGAGGCAGGAAAACAGCTCTTTCTGGCCCTACCAAATCCCTGCAAAACTGGGATCTGCCTATTTGGATTGACAAAAATCTTCCCAACTTGACAGTGAGACCAGGTTGAACTCACTGTTGCGCGGTCCAGGGGCATTGGGCTGGCCTGGATTGTGTCTTGTTGCTCCTCCCCTTCTCCCTGGAGCCATTCACTGCGTCCTCCTCCTGCTGCTCCATCAGCATCTCTGCCGCAGAGCAGGGGGCCTGAGCCTCTCCTCTCAGTGCCCTGGCTCATTCTTCACTGAGGTGGCTGGAGAGCTGGCAAGAAGTGGAAGGGTGGGGGTCGGGGGGCAAACAAGGAGAGTATCCATAGAACAGAATTTAACAGTCCCTGCTCATAAGGTAATAATCTGCTTTCTGTCCTGTGTAAAACTACTTCAGGCCCCACCTGGAAGCCAGATTCCGAAGCACTATTGCATCTTGCCTCTTACACGGAACATGTGGCCCTTGGGTCGGGGACCTGATCTTTGTGAAGACCTTGCCCCACACATAGAATCTAGTGATCAGAAACACTGAAGGCTAGGACATTGCAGCCCTGGTTTTACCCAGGCTCTCTGAGTGCTTGTTCCTTCAGCCTTGCAGGATTGATCTGCTCAAGGGCAAAAAAGCATGTCTGTAGGTCAATTGATATTCCACTAGGGAGTGTCCCCAGAGAAAAGAAAGGGCCCCGAGGGCCACCGTTGCCCTTTCCTGAGAGCCCCAGCCTCAGCCCCGTGAAAGGAGCACAGTTGACATGTTGTTTAAGCTGGAGATGTTGCCTGTATGCGTAAAAGAGCTCTCTGTTTCAGGCTCATGTACAGTCAGGAATGGTTCCTTCTCATCCAACTGCCCATGCGCCAATGATGCTAATGACGACACAGCCACCCGGCGGTCCCCAGGCCGCCCTCGCTCAAAGTGCACTACAACCCATTCCAGTCTCGACAACAGCGCATTTCCCCTATATGACGCACCCTTCAGGTGAGGCGTGTGTGTGCAGGGGCCGCCGGGCACCCCAAAGCATTCTGCTCGCACAGGTCGAATGGCAGGCAGGGCCAGCGCTTCAAACCCCGCGTTTGAGAACTAGCAAGACCCGTCAGTGTGCACCCAGGGACTGTGACGATCAGCCAGTGTCAGGGCCTGAGGCTTCTGGAGCCGAGTCTGTGCGTGTTCTGCTGGTACGGGGTTTGGCTTGAGGAGGAGGAGCAGCAGCAGCAGCATTCCGTGGAGCTGGTGCATGCTTAGGACTCAGTTGGCCTTCCTTGTTTATGACAGGCTGGACAGGGCAGCGTTTCCTTCCTGAGTCCCGAAGTCTGACGTGGGGGGCGACCACCAGGACAGTTTGATTGTAGCTCTGGAGAAAAATACTGATGAGGAAGTGCTGTGTGTGGATCGGTTTTGAGAGTAGCGTTAGCTCCAGCTACGCCCTGACAGGGAGAGAAGGCTGAGATTGTGCTCCAATACTGATGGCTGCCATGGCGAGGTTTCAGTCTGACCTGCTCCTCTGAGAGCAGTGCTGGTGCTTGGCGAGCATTTGGGGAGGGGGTGTGGTAAGGCCTGTTTTTCTACCCCATGAGCAACAAGTCTTCTGGGAGTTTTATCTGAAGTGGTTTCACGTCTTACTGGTTTGTTTCCACCTACCCCCTCCCCCTCCCCATTTTGGTGCAGATGGGAGGGGGGAAACGTACGGCATTCCGAGTCTTGTTCAGCTAGCACAAGGGTAGTTTACAGTCACGCGCTGCAGAGACACTAGGCTAATGTGCGGTGTTGCCAGTTTTCTGTTTAAATATTCACTCTTCTTTTTTACAGTACAAGCCCACCACCAACAGCAGTTGTAAGGCTGCCCTGGAGGAACCGAAAGGCCAAATTCCCTCCTCCCTTCTACTGCTTCTACCAACTGGAAGCACAGAAAACTAGAATTTCATTTATTTTGTTTTTTAAAACTATATGTTGATTTCTTGTAACATCTGATAGAATGCTAACAGTTCACTTGCAGTGGAAGATACTTGGACCGAGTAGAGGCATTTAGGAACTTGTGGGCTGTTCCATAATTCCATGCGCTGTTTCAGTGTCCTGCAAGTACCCCAGCTCTGCTTGCTGAAACTGGAAGTTATTTATTTTTTAATGACCCTCAAAAGTCATGAACACATCAGCTAGCAAAAGTAACAAGAGTGATTCTTGCTGCGATTACTGCTAAAAAAAAAAAAATCAAGACTTGGAACGCCCTTTTACTAAACTTGACAAAAGTTCAGTAAATTCTTACCGTCAAACTGACGGATTATTATTTATAAATCAAGTTTGATGAAGTGATCACTGTCTACAGTGGTTCAACTTTTAAGTTAAGGGAAAAACTTTTACTTTGTAGATAATATAAAATAAAAACTTTAAAAAAAATCAAAAAATAAAAAAAGTTTTAAAAACTGATACCCAGTTAGTGTGTGTTTGTATAAGCTACTAGTTAATACCAAGGCAGGAGGGCTGAGTGTGCTTTCTTAATATCCTGGAAGGTTAGCTGTCAAATGATTTTTCTTCTTCACCTTTAGTTCTGGTTCAAGGTATCTCTAGAAAAAGACAAGACTGAGATATTCTCTTTGGTGGATAGAGATCTGCTTCAGAAGGAGGAAGGCTGGCCAGAGGTGGGCAGCGCTGAAATCCACATCCTCAGCCTGACACTGATTCTGTAAGCTTCCTTTTTAGTATCTCCGGAACCCAGATGAATGTGTGTGTTAGTCGGTTGTCCTGATTCAGGCATCTGTTTGTTTTACCAGTAGGGGGCAGGACATACTTTTTTAAAAAGCTGTGATAAAGATTCACCTGAAATTAATATAATAGTGTACCTCAATTGTAATTGAAAAATAAAATCCATTTTAGAAAAGAAGAAATGGAGGGGGTAGAGAAAAGAAAAAACTGATAAAGAACCCAGAGGACAGAAAAGATGCAGTGATGTACAGAGCAGCTTAGGGCTGTGGACTCAGAAGCATTTGTTAATGTCCCCAGTTTGTGGGAGGGGAACAAAGGGAAAAGCAAGTGACGAAGCAAGGCTGGGGGTTTAATGACACCACAGTCGTGACAGACAAGCCTTTAAATATTGTTGGCAACAAGTCAAGATTCTGAAAACTTTTTCTTTAATTCATATGTAGCAATTTGTACATTATAGCAAAATTTGCATTATTCAAGAATAAGTTACTTGTACAGTACATAAACAATACATAAAAATTTGCCGAAGACCTGCTTATAACGATACAAGATGAATCCATTTTCTGTGTTGTTACAGTGTGCTCTTATTCCAGCCACGCACTGGATGTCAGATGTGTCCCTGTTACGAGGCAGTGGCTAACACGCTACAAGTTCCACTAGCCTATGGGAGATGTTAGAGCTCAGGTGACATTTGCAATGAGAGTCTTAGCCCTGAATAAAAGCATGAAGAAACCGCAGGCAACCCTTAGGGAAGGGAAAAGTTCAAGGCCTTGATTCTAGGTTAAGAAACTGTTATATAAAAATAGTGTTCTCTGGTCTAAGATTTTAATGATTGCTATTCCTTTTTCCTACACGGTCCAGAAATGATCAAAGGCAGAAGATTTATACCAGATAAAGCCATATGGATTGCTGGTCTAAAATTCAAGGCAGGTTAGTTGACTTAATTCTTTGGTGCTGGTGACTGTTAGTTTGTAAAAGTTCGTTAAAGTCAGATTAAGGAAGTGATGGTGCTGGAGCAGTCAGGCTACCCTCGGTGTCTGCGGTCAGAGATAACTGCAAGCTCATGGTGCTCACTGTCCCTTTGGCACTGGGCATGGGCTCTCGGTGGAGGCTGCTGGCTGGGCCTCTTGCTGCCAGCAGTGGTCACATCAGGCCTGGAAGGAGGGTGGCGCGTGCGATCGTGCTGTGGGCTGGCTGCCGCCAGCGGGGTCACTCCGAGGGCATCCAGCCGAGGGATCCACTGCTCCCTCTCTTCCAGCTTGACCTGCTCTAGCAGAAGGGAGCAGCGTTGGCTCACTGTCACTTCTTACCAGGCCAGGACGGCGCTTTCTGTCAGAATGTATTCGAGTTGTCCTGGTAACTCAGACACATTTAGGGAAGAAATGCTTTTCTTGAACATTTCACACACAGGCAGCCTGGAGGAGGGTGACTTCCAGTTCTCCGTCAGGATGAGCTTGCACTTTGTAACCAGGGGGTTAGGGCTGCTAGTTCGCTGTGTCTGGCGTGCCTGTTGGCACTGCCTGAGGGTTTTATGGAGAGACTGCTAAGAAGTGAGTGCCCCTGGCTTGAAGATGTCATAGCCCCGTGTGAAGGGGGGGGCGGTTTGCTTGGTTCATTGTCTGTATGACCCCTTTCCTGCACCAGTGACTTGTCAGCATTGGCTTTCTGTGGTGAGCGTTCTCTTTTAAGAGAGAAATCGAAAAGAGTGCTTGTTCATCTCTTCACCCTTTGCTCAGCATTCATCACTTAGAGAGACCTGCTTGGTGTGTAGAAAATGTGCCCCTAGAAATGGAGCCAAAATCTGGATCATGGTTGGGTTTGCCTTATTACCACCTGTGCAAACACCCAGGAATGTTGGTTTTAAAAGTAAAAGTGAGGAAGTGGCTACTTGCCCCCCACCTCCGCCCTCCCCGGCCCCCCAAAAAAAAACCAACCAGAAAATTGAATGCTAGAAGCGAAAGCCTGACCTCTTAGAGTGCAGAAGGTGGCTGTGGGAGCAGGCGGACCCTCCCCCCGGGTAAGGCGGTCAGGAGTTGGTTTCAGGCCAGGTTTAGCTGGAGCCGCTAACTGATGGGCATCTGCACATGCTGCAGCCACGCTGGGCTCCGGGCTCCTGGAGGCCTTCGGCGCGCCGGGCTGTGCTGAGAGGCTCTGCTGGCCCCGGACGCAGCTGGCTTCTTCCCGTCACTGCCTCCCGGCCCCCCCCTCCCCCATCACTGAGCTCGCTCTGGGAGGGGCCAGCCCCCCTCCAAGGAATCGGGTCACTTGTGAAAGAAGCTCAGAGGGAGACTGCGCTGCAGGACCTCCCCGGGCGCTGCGGCCGTGAGCCCCTGGGCGTGCGCGCACGCTCTTCATCACGTGAAGTGGGACCAGCGGGGACAGAGCGCTGACGGGGGCCGTTATGGGCACTGCTCCTGAGCCATGGCACCAGAGCCCTAGCTTCTGTTTTGGCTCAGGAATGAGTCTAAAACTTTGTGGGATAATTTAATGAGCCATCAGATGCCGGGGAGTTCTGAGCCAGCCCTGTGGCTGAGGGGTTTGCGAGACGGGCCCAGGAACCCTCCTTCCCTTCTCACCTGGCCCACCCCCAACCCTCCCTCAGTTTAATGCCCACCATAAAGCCGCTGTGAAGCAGAGTCCTGTTTTCCACTCATAAGGCACCAGGGTAGAACTGTAACTTGCCACCCTATTTCAGTAACTGCCTGAATTCCCCTGAAAGGGTGATACGCTCCACTTCTCTACATTTAGGAAGGACAGTGGCTACTCAGCAGCCGGTGACTGTCCTGAGGATGCAATAGACAAGGAAGCCAGGCGCGCTGGCTCGGCGGGGGAACTGGTCAGGTAGGGTTTGCATAGCTGTCTCTACAAAAATCATGTGTATTGGTTCAGGCAGTACGATGAATAAGCAATGGTTGGTTTAGTTTTGAAACCTGAATCCTTTGAAAAATTTATCTGAGGTAAAATGTTTAAACTCATTGTTGACCTTGAGGCTGTCCATCTGCCAGAGCTTAGTCATCAGGACAAGAGTGGCCACCTGGGGTGGGGGCGCCACGGGGCGGCCACGTGCACTGACGCTACAGTGGGAAAACCACGAGAGAATCCAGGGCCTGTTAGTGTTTTGGGCTCCCTGATGACCCCCCTCCCCCCAAGCAGAAAGTCTGCCATCCGCTGTGACAGTGTCAGTGAAAAAGAGAACAAGTTCCCACTGCCAGGTCTGGCCCTTACCCTGCCCCAGCCCCAAGAGGGATGGGGACAGGCCCTAGGGACCCAGGGCAGGGGCCAGCGGCATCTGTGCACAAGACCTGTATCTGTAAACAATAAGGAGAAAGCCAAGTTGAAACTTAGAGGGGGCCCTTTAACAGGCCTAATAGAAGGGTCACACCCAAACTGGAAGGAGCAGTTAACAGTGTCCCTTGACTCTGGAAGGAAGGGAAGTTACATTCACAAGTCCTGTCTCTGTGTGCTGTGGGTGCCCCTCTGGGCGCCTGGGGGGTGGGCCCCACCGCCTGTCAGAGGGGCGTGTACTGATTGTCTATGGCCCGCAGGTGGCTCCGGGAGGAGGAGTCCATGTCGTAGTCTGAGTCCCGGGCTCGGCTGGCGGGCTCAGGCTCCAGGTGCCGCAGGCTGCTGGCCAGTTCCTCTGGCGAAGGCACCAGGTGGAAGATCTGCTCTGGGGGAGAGGAGCGGCCTGGCAGGCCCTCCGGGCCAGGCCCCCGCGGACAGCCAGAAGGGCTAAGGTGGGGGAGGCCCAGCTCTGAGTCCCAGCGAGAGAGGGAGAAAGGGAACAGGACAGTGTTGGAGGAACCTGCGGGACAAGTGACAAAGAGACCACACTGTCAGTCTTCATGGGGCAGGAAGGTGTTGGAAGGACACAAAACAAAACCTCTGTGTCCCTGGGTTTACAGCAGGCTTTCGCCCTCTGCCTGCATCCCTGGGCCGGCCACCCCCTTGATCAAGGGGCACTGGGTTCACACCTGGCGGCTGGGAGACAACTACCACGTAGCTGGACAGCCGGACGTCGCAGGCGGCTCCGCACTCGAGTGGGATGGGCGAGCGCTGGAAGTGGTGGAGCATGTCCATGACCGAGGGGAAGTGGAGGTGCTGCACTCGGCACTGGCCCCGCTCGGTCAGCGACAGGCGCAGGTGCTGTGTGGGAAGGAGAAGGGTGGCTCAGGCCATAGCCCCTAAGGGCCTTGAACTTGGGGTAAGGGTACAGCCCCACTTGCTCTGCCCCCTACCTTGGCTATGCCCTGGAAGTTGAACGTGAGCACGTACTCCCCGCGCCGTGTCTCACTCTGCCGTACCAGGAACACTCCGTGAGCGTCAGGGCCCTGCAGCTGAACCAGCTGAGCCGCCTTCACGCGGGAGATGGGGCCGTGGAACCAGGGGTAGCAGGACAGGAAGTGATCTGTTTTCTGGCAGGCTGGGTCCAGCAACCCCCCAGGAGAAGCCCCTGCTAGAGAAGAGGGGTAATGGTGACCCCATTGTGGGTGCCTTTATACCCTGGGCTGAGGCTGGGTAGGGACACACGCGGAGCACAAAGGCCCAGGCCCACTCACTGACCTTGGTTCAGGGACTCGGTGCTTCCCCTTGGAGAGCTGGACGTGCCAGGCGCAGGCACCGAGGGAAGGCGCACCTCTGGGTCTGTGCTCTCCAGCCTGCTGGACAAGAGGTGGGTAAGGCTCTGGGCAGACCAGGGTCGGAGAAGCTGTGCCAGGAGCAGAGTCAGGGCACCTCACCCTTGGCCTGTGCACTCCCGGAGCTCAGCCATCCAGGAAGTCAGCTGCTGCTCGTCTCCCACTTCAAAGATGATGTCTGTCCTGTCCTTCACCTGGTGGGGAGAAAGGGGACGGCTGTGTGGGATCCTCGAGGGGTGTATGTATGGGCCTGGGGGCAGAAAGCTGCGTCACTCACCTTCAGCACGAAGGTGTAGAGGTTGTCGGGCATCTCAAGGCGTGTGCAGCGCCGGACCTCCTGGACACTGGAGCAGGCCGCATGCAGCGCGGGCTTCGAGCTCTAGGAGACCAAGGTGGAGGCTCGAGGCCTGCCCCTGATGGCCCTTTGCCCACCCAGGCCTCTGTGCTTTTCTTCTGAGTGTGCGCTCATGGTGCTGCTGACCAGGCACCCAAGTCTGGAGGAAGGCCCAGCATTCTGGCTTGCAGGAGCTGTGGAGGGCCCTCCTAGCCTCCGCAGCACTCCCCACACTGAGACCCCGGAAACCTATGTGAGCTGGGGACCAACTCCCCTTCCCCTGGACGGGTGGCCAGTCCAGCACGGACATGTGCTTGCCTGCTGACGTCCCTTCCCTTCCTGTTGGGGAGTAGAGTGCCTTGTGCGGCCACATCACAGGGACTGCCTGGCCCTGAGCACACACCCAGAGAGGGGGATGGGAGGGTAGCTAACTCAAGCCCATTTCTCTCTCGGGCTGACGGGCTCTACCAGGGGCCCCAGGTCTTTGTCGTGCCTTTAGCTCCCCCCAGTACAGGTTTCTTCTGGCCTAACAGCAGCCCTAGGAAGCAGAGCTATCCTGCATTTTACGAAAGAAACGCAAATCTCGGAGGGAAAGCTGTTTGACTCAGGAAGGGAAGATCAGGTTTTAAACACTAGAACATCAGATTCCCAAACCGCACGAATCCGTCCTGCCTTCAAGTCTCAGGACAAGGAGGGGTTGGTTCTGCTACAGGGCGGGGGAGGGGGCAGAGAAGCTTCGCCACGGGCCTTCAGCCCGCGCACCCAACAGGGCACGGTCTGGCAGGGCCGGCCCGGTTCCTGTCAGCCAGAACCCAGACAGCCCAGGGCCAGGAGTCTGCCATGACATCCCACACACTGGGTTCAGAGTAGGTGGGAAATGGTCCCCAAACCCTTTGCCAGCAACGGTGGCTGCTTCTAGTAGAGGCTAAAAGAAAATAACTGGAAAGAGCCAGAGATGGGAACTGGACTGAGGCGGCCCCGCTGGGTTCCCTGCCTCCAGCAGCTCTTCCTCAGAGCCAGGAGGGAGCCAGGCGCGCCTGGGGTGCACCGTGACCCCTAACAAGCCAGCACAGGGTGGGGCGATGGCCAAGAGCCAGGCTTTGGGGGAATCCCACCCCCACTGACTCTGCCCAGGAGGGCACATCTCGGCCAGAAGCTGCCTTTTCAAAGGTGGTGTCAGAGCCGATCCCCATAGGCATATGCCTAACCATGTGGTGGACATGCAGGAGGAGCCAGGCACCTCTGACAGGAAGATGTGACCCCAGAGCCAGCCACCTGCCTTCAGCCCCCTCCCCACCAGCAGGGATGCCAATAGACAGAGTTGAGAGGGCAGCCAGCAAGGAGGAAGGGTTGGCCACACTGGGGTTCCTCCTGGCCCAGGCCCTCCCCCTCAGCACGTCTCCTTGGAGGGCGCGGCCTGCCCGCACTGGCAGCCGCTGCCGTCCAGGGAGGCAACAGCAGCTTGAGGAACCGTTAGCGTCGACCAGGTTTTACTGCGTCGCCTCCCTGGTAGTGAAAACAAGGACGGGAAAATCCTGGAGGGGCTGCACAGCCAACAGCCAGGCCCAGCCCAGGTGCTTTCACCTTCCCAGCTTCCCTCCCATGCCCCCTGTGTCCCATGGCCCCTCCTGGGAGGCAGGCGTGGGCAGCAGGGTAGCCTCGCACAGCACTGGCAGGCACACCAGCGCACGCGGGGAGCAGGGCCTCTGCGCCCCGGCAGCCTTCACAGCCAGCCAGTCCCTCAGAGCCCTGCTTCCTGTCTGCAAAGTGGGGAAGGTACAAAGGGCTATTTCCTTCCTTCTCCTGCTTCTGCAGTTGGCCCTGCCTGGCCCTCACCCTCCCTGCTGGCTCCGGGCCTCAGGATCCCTGAGAGGAAGTGGGCCAGGCCAAGAGGGGAACAGGCCTAGCCTCCCTTTCAGTTCTGCTCCGGGCCTGGCCCTGGTCCCAGCCCCAGTGAGTGCAGAGATTAAGCAGCAAAGCCACTGGTTTCACTCTGAATGTGGGGCCCTCCGTGCCAGCTCCACCCCCTCCAGCTGAGGAACTGCTGACCCGGCGGGCAGTGGTAGAGAGAGGATTCCCCCTCTGCACCCACGGGGCCGCGGCTGCACAGATGATGTCTGGCTCCTGGCTGCCATCTGCCTGCAGGGCGAGCCTGACCCGGGCCCTTCCCCGATCCTCTCGGCAGCCCTGGGTGGGAGCAGCCTCAGTCAGGCATCTGTCTGCCCCAGAGTCACGCAGCTCTGGGCGCAGGGCTGGGCTCTGAACCGGCGGGACTGACTCCACGCTGCCCGAGACTGGAGGGGTAAGTGCGAGCATGAAGCCAGGACAGCCGCACCTGTGGCTGGGAGCACCAGCTGGTGGGGGGCGGGGGGCGGGGGGCGGGGGGGCGGTGCCGACAGGGGCCGTCCTGGTGGCGCGAGATGCTGGCAGAGAAACGTGATGGAGAGAAGTGAGCCCACACTCTGGGGCCCTGTCAGCAGCCACAGGCACATTGGGGGCTTCAGGTGCCCCCTCACTCACACGCTCTATTCCACCTGCCTTGGAGAGCAGGCCAGGCCAGGCCAGCGAGCGGCTGCTCTCCGGACCCCCTCAGAGCCGCACTGCTTAGGTAATCAAAACAGCTGTACCACTCCAGGTGGTTGTGGTCCAAGCAGAGGAATCACCAGCCACGACCTGCAGCGTGTACTCTGGCGGGGGGCAGGACCTCTGTCTCCCAACATCCAAAAAGCTGGCTTCGTTCTTACAGCCACGGTGACTCCAGTGGGAATAACCCATTCTTAATTGTGGCTGCTACAAAGCTCAAAGACAGAGGTGCAAGACAGCTCTGACAGTCTCCTCACAGAAGGGCATACTTTCTACAGCTCACCCGATCTGGGCTTTATAATTCCCTCATCCCTCTGGGCCTTAGGGTTTGGTCCTCACCCCTCCATTGCTTGTATAAGCCTGGGTAAGTGGCTCAGCCCTCCTGCCTTTGCTTTGTCATCTGTAAAGTAGAGCTGTGTCATAGCCCTCTCTTCACTGGACTGGTATGGTGACTGGCTAGGGGCTGGGGCCCAAGGCCAGCCAAGGTGGGTAAAGCTTCCGTGGGTCCCCAACAGTGCTGGTGTGCAGGGCAGGTGGCCCTGCAAGCAGCCTGGGCCCAGGGAACACGCCTGCCCTCTCCCAGCGTTACAGACCCTGTTTGTAACCGCCCCTTTACCATCCTGCAGTGAGATTCAGTTAACTTACCTACATAGCCTGAGATAGAGGGAGAGTAAGCAGTGTAACTTAAAATAAAATGAAATGTACTTCACTGTGACTGCAGGGAATACAATGATCTGTTTGGGTGCTGCTTTGTTTTTAAAAACTAAAGAACATGAAGGAGCCAGAGGGCAGGGTGGGCCTGGGAAGACAGTCTGTTCAGCAGACATTAAAACTGGACAGAGGCTTCCATGTACTCTGTGTAAGGTGGAGCAAGTTCTGGCTCTCGGTTTGCCATCTGGAGAGGGTGGTGTGGATAGCTCTGCCTCCACCCACGGGTCCCCCCATTTCCCCGGTCTCCCCCTGACCCAAGGGCCCCTTATCACTATCACTGGAGAGGCTTTGAGCCTCAAATATGCGGGCAAATGAAAGCGACAGCTGGACCTAGACCTCCCCTTCTGGAAACCACCACCACCTGCTGCTCCTGCTCTCTGTGTGCTAAGCGGAAGGGGCCTTGGATAGCCCTTCCGGAGTCTTCCAAGGAAGGTGCTGGGCTGCACCCTACTCTGCCATGTCCTCACAGCCATCCTGAGTGGGGCCTGTTGCCATTCACACCACTGAAACCCCAGCAGAGGGGCTGGCCACACCCTCATGGAGCTTCTGGTCTACCAAGGAAGCAGGCTACCCAAAGGGAAGGAGACAGGGCCAAGGCAGGCAGGTGGTAGATGGTGAAGGCTGACTTTGCTGCATTAAGAGCAGGACTCAGCTTCCCTGGCCTGGGAATGGCCTTTGCAAATGCCCTGAGGTAGGGAAGCATGTGGGCCTTTGTGTACCACAGTTAGGGGTTACTGTAGGCCCAGACGTCCCCACGGGGCCTTCAGACTGAGGGAGTCGGTTGGGGTTTATTTAAGGCAAAGGAGGGAAGTGGGAGCTCATGCTAAATTCCTCGACAGAAGCAGGCCTGCCCGTGGGGCCAGGCCCAGCTCTGACCACCTCCTGTGTGGGAACGGAACAGCAAAGGGCCTGGCACAGGGGGCTCCATGGTACGGGCAGGCCAGACCCTATTACTGGCCTTGTTCTATCCACAGCGACCCGCCTGGCCAGTGAAGGGGCCTTTGTCCTCCAGTGAAAGCCTAGAGGAGAGACCCCCCCATCACCTGGCATTCCCCAGGCCACACCAGCCCCTGGCAGCCTTGTCTCTGCAGGCTTTGGGCCCTCCTCTGCCGAAGGGTAGCGGTGGCACAGGAAGTAGGACACCGTACACGGCTGGGGGAGGAGTTCAGGCCCCACACAGCAGCCACGCCCTCGAGCTGGCATCTTGGAGGCACCAAGCCATCCCTCTGCCACTACTGCATTTGGGGCTTTGTGCACGGCACTAACTACCGCCTCAGTTGACACAGGGAACAGCAGACAGGGCCCTGCTGACAGCCCGTGAGTACGTGAGGATGGGCGCTGTCTTGGCTGAGGCCCTGGAAACTGAAAGGCTCAGCCAGCCCCGGATCCCAGTCATGGGTAACTGAGTCCCCCCCAGCCCAGTGCCCAGAGTGGATGCTGCCCAGATGAACGAACAAATGACAGGCAGGTGAAAGTCATCGTGGAAAATGCTTACTCAGGTCTTACTGATTGGGAGCAAAACAACCTGAAAAACACATACACACCCTCACCCCCCTTATTCAAAACAACCTGAAACACACACACACACACTCTCTCTCTCTCTCTCTCTCTCTCTCTCTCTCTCTCTCTCTCTCTCTCTCTCCCCCCCCCCCCTTCCCCCCTTATTCCAAAAAGGATTTTAGTCAGCTTACAGGGACACTCAAGCGAGGGAATTGCAGCTGCCACAAGTTTATGTCTGAGCTTCCTGGCAG